CCACAGGACTTCGTGAGCCGAGACAGAGAAAACGGAGCTGGAAAACAGAAAGGAAACAGCAGCGATTTGCAAAACAGTATTAAGTCAGCGAAAAACCAGCAAAAGGGTCGTGCCCTGCTGGGTTGTCTACACGTGACCCCTCACTTTTACCCTTAATTCTGTCCCCAAACTGCAGCTCGCCCCTTCTCCTCCCACCCGCTGGTCTAACTGTTCAATATCTCAGAAGGTCTTTGTTACCAAGCTGTTTCCACAGGGAGGGGATGTGTTTATCAACCCAGTCAATATTGACTTTCTCCTGCCAGAAGACAGACACCAAGCACACCCTCTGGGGAAGGACCCAAAGGAATTCTGCAGCAAGTGAAATTAAATAGATCCATTAAAAAATGTTAAATGAAGCAGCGTGACAAATCAGTTGAGCCCAGTCAGAGCCAGGCAACCTGGGTTCAAACCCCAGCTCCCTCACTTAGCTGCTGTGTGACCTTGAGCAAGTCACTTAACCTCTCTGTGCCTGAATTTTCATCTGCAATTTGGGGTTAATGATGGTAATTACCTGAGAGGGTACAGTTGGCACAGCAGTAAGCACTGTATGTATATAATGAACATTCATGAATCCAGTAGTGACCTAGCATGAGGTAATGTTTACAAGCTTGTTCTTTTTTTCTACCAGGAAGAACTCTTACTTATCCTTCAAGGGTCAGCAAAAATATCCCCCCTCCAGGCAGCTTTCTTGCCTCTTCTCTAAGACAAAGCCCTGGGCATCCCTCTCTGTCCCTCACCTTCCCCACCATTCTGGTCTAGCCTTGCCTCATGGAGCTGGAGTGTCTCTGTCTGGCTCTGTCTCCCCCATATTAGGAGCTCTTGAGGACTGGGTCCAGGGCTAGGTTCTTTTGGATTTTTCTTGGTCCCCAGCATCACCTGGCACTGGGTGGGCACAGAGGAGGGTGCAGGGCTGTTGGCTGATGAATGAAGTCATACTGTTTTAAGCTTCTGACCCTGGCATTGAGGCCTCCCTCACCCCTTCATCCCCACATGCTTACTCTACCCCATACTGATCAAGCTGTCTCTCCTCTCCATGTCTTTGCCCATGCTGTGCCCCTGCCAGGAATGTTCTTTCCCTAATTCCAGCTCTATTTTCCAATGGTCACCTACCGGTGCCCCCAGAAAATTCCTCCTGCCTCTCTGGACCCCACCAGCCCTGTCCCTCCTTCTGGCCCAGCCTGGCCCCCAGGTGCTCTCTTCTCAAGGGTGGAGATGAGGCTCAGGGTCTTGGGGCCCCGGTCTCAGCATGGGGTGGGTACAGAAATAGGCACGTACCTGGGAGAACCCTGTGGGGGGGCCCGAGGCCCTCACTCTGGCTGTGCCCCGGCACCTGCAGGAGCCTGGGTTTCTGTTCAGGGACTGCACGTCAGCGGGGTGGGGCGTTGCCCCAAGTGGTTCCTGTTTCCTTAAGTAGGTGAGCCCTGGGCGGGGACTAGGACACCGCTGTCCCCCCCTACCCCCCGCCCCGTCTGCAGTCTGACGGAGCTGCTGAGCTGCATGCAGGTGGATAGACACCCTTGCTCCATCCAGACCTCGACAAGCCTTTATTGAGCACCTACTGTGTGCCAGATCCTCAGGGAACAAAAGAGGTGACCCCAAGACAGGCATAGGTCCTGCCCTCCCAGCGTCTATAACCTGGTGAGAAACGAAGAGAAGTGAGAAATGATTAATGTCATTGTTTCAAAGTGGACAGCCTGTCAGGAAGGGGGAACTGGAGTTGCAAGAACCCCGCAGAGGGGGGCCTAACTGATCTGGAGGAAAGGGCTTGCTAGGGGGGCAGGTAGGAGTCAACTTGATTGCCGGGTTGTTGCACAGAAAGAGTGCTCTAGGGGGAGGGAACAGCACAAGCAAAATCCCTGAGGCAGGATTGAGCCTGGACAGGCTGAGGCCTCACTGCGTGCCACAGGGCTACATTATGACTTCCTCTGTAAGAAAACAAACAAAAAAAAGAACACACCCATTTAAAATTATTTTTTATAAACTCCTTGATATCAAGACTAACGTATCCTGGGCTGGATTTATTTTATATATTCATTATTATTGTATCCATTTTTTTCTCCTGATTTTAAAACACTAAAACATTTTGGGGGCCCCTACACACATTGTGGGCCCTGAGTGTGGGAACCCCTGCCTAACACATCAGCTAGCCCCAGATGCGTGCTGGCTGCCTCACCCGTCCCCGGCACACAGGCAAAACCACTTCCTCCTCCCTTTTCAGAGAGAAACGGCCCAGATCCTTGTGGCTGAGCTGGGGGCCTCCCTGCGGACCTATCACCCTGGTGCAGCTGGTATAGATAGCCCCCCCATTGCAGGCTCAAGATGGATGTCATCACCATCCCCTGCTCCTGGGGTTGTTGACGGGGGTTGGGGGTGGTGGTGCTGGCCTTGTCTGGAGCCTGTGGGTCAGTAAGGCTCAAACAGGAGACACATGGAACCTGGTTTCTCACTTACTCGCTGTGCGGCTTTGGGTGAGTCACCCAAACTCTTCTGGGCCTCAGTTTCCTCATCTGTGAAGTGGGCACGAAGATAGCCCTCCTTAGTCACATGACGACAATTAGGCAAGACAACCTTCAAGCATGCAGCATGGGGCTCAGTTAAGAGAAATATTAGGACTCTTCCCTGTGACTTAAGCTGATGCCTTTGTGCCTGGCTGGGGTAGATGCAAGTTTGGCCTCCTGATCTCACAAGCTGGGCTGCCTTGGGCAACTCATTTCACCTCTCTGATCCTCCATGCCTTCCACGGCCCAATGGACCAGGTCCCAACCTCGAGGAGAAGAGCAATTCTTTGGGCAGGGGATCAGAATTGTCCAAGAGACCCTTGTCACTTAGAAAGTCTGGCCATCGGGGATCTCATTTACATAGAGTGCAGTCTCCAGAAACATGGGGTGTTTCAGTTCACCTCCAGCATGTCCCCCTGAGGTCCAACCACAGAGGGCACCACCCTGATTAGCCTGACCTGCCTGGGGGGGATGTGGTCTTTCGCAAACTAATGTCCTCCCCTGAGACTGTCACAACTGAATCATCCCCCATCTCTTGGTGGCCAACAGTCTTCGAACACGGCCCTCAGAGGAACATTCCAGAAGGGGACCAGCAGGGAGATGGTGGGGCTGGGAGACTCCAAGGCCCCTGCCCCTCTGAAGTCAGCCCCTTACCCTTCCAACGTCAGGTCTGGGCTTCTCACTGGAGGCCCCAATTGGTGACTGGGACATTCACTGGCCCCTATGTGGGGTGGCTCTCGGGGTAGGAGGCCACAGTGGTGTCTCAGCCCAGGGATATGCTGGGGCTGTCGACGTCAGGGGTGGGGAAGCCCTTAGACTCTGTCAACTCTGGGCTTTACGCAATTTCACAGTTCTCTCATTCTCCAATGCCTCCATTCTATTCATTCATTCCACAAAAACTGACTGAGCCCCAAGTGTGGGCACCATGTTAGATGCTGGGGATGAAGCAGAAGACAAAACAGGCCCTGTCCATGTCATGCTGGAGCTCATACTCCACGGGGAGACTGATGCCACAGAAGTCCACATGCAGGAGAGGCTGGCAGAAGAGGAGACAGCAGGGGCAAAGGCCCTGGGATAGGAACAAACTTGGCACACTTGAGAAACAGACAATAGGCAAAGTGTCCAAAAGGTGGAGACAACCCAAACATCCATCAGCGGATGAACACATAAAAGATATGGTCCATCCACACAGTGGAATACTATGCAGTCAAAAAAGGGATGAAGCTCATGACTGATCTCAAAAACTTTATGCTGAGTGAAAGAGGCCAGATGCAAGAGGCCACATCGCGTGCGATTCCATTTATACGAAACATCCAGAACAGGCAAATCCATAGACAGAGAGTAGATTAGTGGTTGCCAGGGACTGAGGGAGGGAGAATGGGGAGTGGCCGCTAATGGGTACTGAGTGATAAAAATGTTCTAAAACTGACTCTGGTGATGGTTGCACAAAGCTGTGAACACAGTAAAGACTACTGAATCGCACACTTCCGTGGGTGAACTGTATGGTGTGTGAATTACATCTCAATAAAGCGGTTATTAGAAAAAGAGCCAATGTGTCATCCGTCTCGGTACAAGAGGATGGTAGCTGAGGAGCTGCTTCCCCGCCTGCCACCCCATCAAAGTCTTTAGACACAAGGAATAGTAATGACTCTCTGAGCAAGAGGCTGGTACAAGGTCGGACTGAGGAGTTCAAGGATGCCACCTGACCTGGCTGCGGGGGGCCACTGGTGGAATTTTGGGGCACTATGGGGCAAATACTTACAGCTCAAAGCTGTAAGCTACTTGGATGACTTGTTCCCCATTAGAGACAAGGTGTAAAAAGAGAGGTGAGCTTTTCTCTTGGGGCACAAGACAAATAACGATGCTAATGATGATGGATATGAATATGATGACACAATGTGATAGCAGTTAGCTTGGGATGCGCCCTCACGGGATCTTCATAGCCATCCTATGAGGTGGGAACTATGATCATGCCCAGCTGAGGCTCAGCCCCTGGTTGCGCCGTGGGTCTGAAGCAGGATCGTGGGGAGGAGACTTCCTGAGAGGTGAGGGGGGGCTCAGAGTGGATCACTCAACTTGGCAAAATGGGTGCAGTAGGGACCAAGACGAGAGAAACTTGGTGGCATGACGGGGACTGATGTGGACCGAGCGGGTTAAGCAGGGGGTGTGGTGTATGAAGTGGTGCTGCGGGGAGGGACACCTCCTTGTTTTTCTGTGCTGCGTGTGTTTGGGGAAGGGGGCAGGTTGGGAAGCTTATTCTCCCGTCAGTCTTTTGATAATGTGTCACCTCCTCAGAGCTTGGGGTGACCTTCTCCTCCAGCTTGGGGTAACCTGCCACCTCTACTTTGATCTTGTCCAGACCTGAGGCCCCTGCTGACCTGGGCTGTGTTCTAAATAGCGGGCATCCTGTGAACCCAACATCTGGCCACATCTGTGTACCTACAGAGAATGTGGACATAAAAATCCGTTAACTTTAAAATGAGCTTTAATTTGTTTTCCTTAAGTGCATTTATCGATGTAAACAGAGCATGTTAAGAGATACCAAGGGGAGAGCAGACAATTGCTGGTATGTTGGTTTTAATTCAAAAAAAAAAGAAAAAGAAAGGCTCCCTGGTGACACCCCCCTTGGCCTGGTTACCTGGTCCCGACCGCAGTCTCTACGGGACGGTAGAGATGTCAAAACAGAACTGAGCAATGGCAGTTAAAAACCCACCCAGACTGCTCTGCAGTCGGGCCCCGCAGGCCACCCCACACTCAGCCACGTCCGAGAGGTTGGGGGGGGGGGGATGCGTGTGTTCCCGATCACCTGGGTCTGCTGTTGGAAATCAAGGAGAGAATCACCTCCTGACACTACAGATCTGGAAAAATAAAAATCTCTAGAAAAGAACGTCCGATTTGGAGACAGCGGGAGGACGAAGAGGAGTAGGTGCCCCGATCGAGGGTGGGCCGTGTGTGACTGCATTTTGGGGTCACCGTGGCATGCACGGAGACCCCTCAGTGCTCAGGTGGGGACTGTGGAGGGACCTACTGGCCATGCCCAAGGCCTGGCTGGACCACGGGACCAAACCTGGCTGTAAACAGGAAAGGCCACTCTATGCTTCTTTCCTCAGGATTTCCTTAATTTGTGCTTCCCTTTGGTTTGACAGTTAACATGGGGGTGAGGGGGTGGAGCCGGGGGGGGCGGGGAGTAGATAACGGTTTCTGTCACTTGTCCAAAAACTGAGAGAAGAGGTGAAAGCCGGTGTTGGATTTGTTGGCAGACGCTTCCCGGGCCTGATGTGAGTTGCCTCGCTCAGGGTGCAGAGACGGGCTCCCCTGGAGCTATCACTGGCCTTTGGGGGCCTCGCTTCTGCCGCGGGGGACATGCACGGGCTCTCCGGCGGGGCTCTAGCTATGTCGAGGCCCAGAGATGGAGGCCTGCCGTGTGGGCTGCTACTGACGGCCGTGCCGCGGCTCCACCTCTCTCTCTAGCTTTACACAGTGCGTGGACCCATTCAGTGGATGTCGCAGGAATGGTAGCAGATTCTTAACTTCTTCCATCTCCAGAGTTGAAAAAGATCAGTTACCAAAATAAACAATTTCTCGATTGTGTTCTGGTGGCCACGGGCCCGGGGGCCGCGGCGTGGCGGGGAGTGGTGAGGGGGGAGGGCCCCGGCTGAGTGAGGGGCTCACTCAGGACAGGCACAGTCAGCTCGGCTGAGCGAGGCTCAGGGTAAGGCGGCGTTCCTCACAGAAGAACACATCGGAAAAAGCTGCTCCTCTTCTGCTGGTCCGGTGTGATTTTGACTCCCTGGTTGCTCCCCTGGGGGCTGTTGCCTTCCTGAAATCACAAGAGGTTTTCTGAGGTTACGGCTGAGCAACGTGAGCTCTATGTCTCTTAACCAACCAGCCAGTCAACTAATGAACTAACCAACCAACCGCCAGCCTATGTATCCATCTGTCACCTTCCAACCAACCATCCATCCATCCCCTCCCATCCATCACCCATCCATCCCCTTCCAACCGACCATCCACCCATTCATCCAACTGTCCCCTCCAACTAACAATTCATCTTTCACAAACCCATAGATCTGCTTTTTATCTACTACCCATCACTCCTTCCAACAATTCATACCTTTAATCACTCATTCACGCACCTAACCACCCCTTTCCATTCGCCCTCTCAACATCTTTCCAACCACTTATTTACCCATCTCACTCTCTTCTTTCCCTATTTCCTTCTTTCCATTCACCCACCCCTCCCTCCTTCCCATCCATCTACCCATCTGTGCTGAGCACCTATCAGTGAGGCAGCTGAGGGCAGCAGAAAGGTGCTCTCTCTTGGGATTTGGAGTGGCTGGGTTCAAGGTCCCAGTGCCACTCACTCACCCGGCTGGTCTCCCTGCCCCTGTGCCAAGGCTCTGGCTCCCCACCTTTCCCCACAGTTCACCCTCCACCCTGCTGCAGGTGAGGTAAGCCCTAAACTCAAGCCCTGTTGAAAATCCATCAGTGCTGTCGCCCGGCATCTGAAGCCTCTGTTCCGATCCCTGCCTACCCTGGGAACTGAAATCCTATTTTCTCTCACATCACCATGTTTGGAAACGTTCAGCCCTGTTTCTTTGACTAATTCCTTCTCATCTTTCAGCTCTCAGATAAAACCTGAATTTATTCAACAGTAACTGCTGAATGCCTACAGGGTGCCAAATTTACACAATGTCCTATGTCAATTACATTAAAAAAAAGACGACTGATAGAAGTGGTATGGGGTTGCAACTCTGAACATAAACAAAGGTGGTAGGAAATGAATAGAATTTAACTGTTGGTGATTTGCAACTTAGTTAAGAAAAAAAGAGAAACTGCAAGGATTATGGTGAACATCACAATCTATGCCTTGGAAGGATATGGCACATTCTGGAGGCCATCAACAGGCCGGTATCAATAACACAGGCAAAGTGTTGCCGTGAGGCTCCGTGTAACTCCCGGTGAGCATGAGTGAGTCAGCAGGATCGTTAAAAATCAAAATTTTACTGTTACATTGAAGAGCAAAGAATTCTAAGAAAATCACAATCGTAAGAAAAGCTTTCTAAAAGTACAGCGGTTTTACACAGACTCTTTTCTGTTCTGGCTAAACAGCTGCCACTAAGTTGATCGTGTGCCTTGCGATTCAATTCACAGCATCTCAGAATTATGCAAATGACACCCGTTTAAAGTCAGATGTGAACTACTTGAATGGCGTTTTGTATAGTGTGAGCAGTCCTATATGCACAGACACAGAACAGGCCACAAATAGAGTGCTTTATGCTCTCGTATCAGACAACAGGGAGCATCACTTGGCGGGAAGAGTGGTCACTGGAACAGAGGCTTTGCAGTAAGACTCACGACAGCATTTAGCCGCTAACATGCCCAAAATATAGTTCAGCGTTCAGACCCTACCAAGAAAGCACTAGTTATGCTGAATGCTGGGGACTGTGAAACTGCTCATGTGGTAAACAGAAAAGCTAGAGATGAATGAAAGGGTGGATGCGGAGGGATTCAGGCAGGACCTCCTGGAGGCCTCATGGCCCCGGCACCCACTGAAGGTTGCCACAACCTGCAGAATTTCGGGCTGGAAGGAAGAAGAAGGCTATCGACCTGCTGGACTCATCAGGATGGAAAGCCGGCAGCTGTCAGACACGAGCCCGGCTTGGGGGCCTTGTTACGGGGTGGACCGTGGCTCTGGGCCTGCCTGGGGGCTTTTCTGCAGGAGGCCCTCTACCTTCGTGCATACTTGGCTCCCAAGAGGGATGGAAAGGGTCCGGTGTCCCCAGCTAGCTTGTGTGCTTAGTGAGCAGCGCCTGGTACTGAGCAGCTCTGGGCCACGGAGGAAAGATGAAGTTGAGAGGCATGTTCAGGGTGGATGTCCCCACCACACCCGATAACTCTACCCCCCTTCCTAGAGATGCCCTACTAGGTGCACCTGGCCCCTAAGAAGCAGGATCTGCCCGGGGATGCATCACACCACTGAGAGCGATGCCAGCCAGCTCCAACAGGGATGCACGTGGGGATCCGGGGAGGACACACACTCACCAATTTTTTATCCATTTTTGCTTTGATGTCTCTGGCGAGAGTGAAAAATGCCTGTGGAATAAGCACGTAGTTAGTAGCCCAGGAGTGGGAAGCAGGTGGGGGGCCTGCTGGTTCCTAGACGCTGCCACACAGAGGGTGTGGCTCAACGGCAGGGCCAGTGTGGGGAACAGTGTCAGGACAGAGACCTGGGCATGGGTCTCACCTGTTCAGCCCCATCTCCTGCCCCTACAGGGATACCCCCACCCACCTGGACCACTTCCCCTAAACCAATGACTCTGGAAGGTGGGATCACCCTTGGCTGGTCAGAGAGGAAGCTGAGGCTTGGAGAGGGGGTGCCCAAGTGACTTGTCTCAAGGCACTCAGTGGCTAACTGACTGATCGAGCTCTCCGTGCCTGACCCCTGTGCTCTATCTGCCCACTTTGCCTCGCTTCTAACAGTCAGGGGCAGGGCAGAAAGACAAGTGGCTCCTTGGCCAAACGAGCTTCATTCTGGGTCCTCGCCCAGTAAGAAGGCCTGGTAGGTAGGGTGAAAGGTTCATCTTTCAAGGGTTGGCAAAGGCCTGACCCCAGGCTGCTGCCTCTGTCACAGGCTCCTGACCGTTTCTTCCCTTCCCCCACCTGGACAACACTTATAAACCCCACTCTGGCACCAACCCTACTCCGGGCCTTATACAGAGATGAGTTGGCCTCAGCACTTGCAGTCGAGGGGCTCCTGGTTCGGCGAGAAGCAGAGTCTTAGCAAACACCCATGTGACGTGGAAAGTTCTGTCGCGGAGGGTATCTCGGGGTGCTGCGGACGCCTAAAGTGGGCCTCAGGGCCTGGGGAACGGCAGAGGCCTCCTCGGGAAGGGGCCACATGGGCTGGTCCCTGATGGGAAGGTGGGGGCGTAGGGACTGTGGCAAAGGCCTGGAGGAAGGTGAGGCACAGGCGGCCAGGGACGGAGAGTGGTGGGCGAGGCCTGAGCTGTGGGCGGCACACACTGGCTGGGGCCAGCTAGCGAGGGCCTTCTGTGCCTCGCGCAGGGGCTGAGGTTGGGAGTGGCGTGGAAGATCCAGTTTGGAAAGATCACGGGAGTGGCGGTAAGGAGGAGAAGGCAGGTGAGCTGCAGGGCTGGCACTGCTGGTGGACAGTAGAAGGAGGCCTGGGCCAAGGCTCGGTCAGGGTGCCCTACTCTGTATGGGCTTGTGACCCTGTCTGTGCGGGTGGTGTGAACGAAAGCACAAACCCGGAGGCAGGCCTGGGCGCCAGCCAGCGCAGAGACTCTCTGAGCCTCGGTTTCCCCACCTGCAAAACTGCGCCTGCTCCCCAGGGCTGCGTGAGAGCCAGAGAGATCATGTCCTAGGTGCCCAGCTGGGGCTGGCACCTGCTGATGTCAGGACATGGGGGCGGTTCCCCCAGGCCCCCTGGGCCTTGCAAGAGGCCTGGCACACGGTGCTGCCCAAGAAGTGCCTCTCAGCCGTCTGTCCAAGAGGCAGCCGAAGCTGTGACCAGTCCCTGTGACAGAGCCTCCCTGGAGGGTGCGGCCCGATCCTTAGCCCTAATGGGCCGGCGCTGTGGGCCCGGGACTCACGTTCTCCACGTTGATGTTGGCCTTCGCGCTGGTCTCCATAAACTTGATTCCATAGTCCAGGGCCAGCTGCGAGGGAGGGAGATAAACATGCAACATCAGCCACCAGGTACCCAGACCTCTGCACAGCGCCCTGAGGGGGGCCGAGACAGACAGACAGAGTGGGGCCTGCTCCCTCAAGCCACCAGTGGAGAGCAGGTGGTGAATGTCCGTGGCAGGAGGGTGGAGGGGGCCTGGCTCAAACCATGGCTCTGTTCTCCGCCCGCTGTGGCCTCGACGGGTCCCACGAGACGCTGTGCGGAAGCAAGCAGAGCACACCCAGAAGCCCTCGCTGCTTTCAGTCTTTAGCCTGAAGCCCGGCTGGGCGTGTGCTTTCCACCTTCCCTTCCCATGGCATGTGCCCCACTTGGACAACCGACTCATCTGCGTGCCCAGTCAAGCCCTGCATCCCAGAAGATGGGTCATCTTATGCTCAAAAAGATTGTTAAGGGAGTCTCCCCAAAAGCCCAGCCTCACCATCAGTGAGCAATCGGGGGGCCCTCTGGGGCAGGGCAGGGCTGGAATCCCAGACGCTGAGGTCCCTCTGCCCCGAGGTGTCTGGCAGTGACAGGCCCAAGCCGGCCACCATGCCTACCTTTTCTCCCCGTTCCTTGGAAACTTGTCTCTTGTCGTTCACGTCGCACTTGTTCCCAAGTATCATCTTTTCGACGTCTGCAGAGGCGTGCTGGAGGGGAGGGGCAGGTGGTGGAGGTGAGAGGTAAGGTCAGACTGGACTACCAACCAACTGGTAGCCCACCCCCCAAGATCAGAGTGATGGTGTCAAGACTGCTAGGCACACCCTGCACAGATGACAAACTGAAGCTCAGAGAGGCTGAGAGCCCTGTCCTATGTCACTGAGCCAGTGCCAGGACAGAGTTCAGGGTTCTGGCTGCTACCCTGACCAAGCGCACGCCTTCTGGCTGCCAAGGACAGCTTCTCTATGGGCCACGCCAACTAGGCTACCATGGCTGTCCTCGGACTCCCGGCCAGGTCTGGCCTATGGGAGGCAAGTGGGGCTGGGGTATTGACCTCTGCTCGCCTCCCTCCTTCCCCGGCTCCTCTGCTGGAGACCCCAGCTGCTGTCCTGGGACCTTCTGCCCTGCTCCAGCGCCCCTGTTCTGGGCTCCAGAAACAGGCTGTGCCGGGGGTGGGCGCAGGCCTCGGCCGCCACCAGCCCTTTGTGCTTTGCCATCCCCTGGCGTTCCCTTAACTCTGCCTTCACGCCTGAAAACGGTCCCTTCCTCCAACCTGCCCCCACATTCCAACCCAGTGGGCCTTGCTTCCTGAAGGACTGGACCATCAGAAAGGCCCTTCTTGCTGCAGCTCAGACCTGGTCTCAGGGAAACGCGCTCCTCTCTGCTCCCTAACTTTCTACTACTTGGAAAGCTCTCTCGCCTACCGGCCGGAACAGAAAACTTCCACAGAGACCAGTGTGAGGACCCCCTCCTCAGGCCAGGTGCAGCCTCCTGCCAGGAAATAACGGGGTCATCGGGAGATGGCCCAGTGCAACTGCTCACAGGTGCTGGCTGTGATGTGACCTTCTGCCATGTCTTCATGGGTGGGTAAAGTTCTCAGACCCGAGCCCCACCTGGTGAGTCATCACAAGCCACAAGCACCTTGTCCAGGGAGGCTCTGAGGGTGAGGGTAAGCTCTGTGGAGAGCGGGGAGGTGACGACACTGGCTTTGGGACAGGTAGGCGGCGCTGGCCGCCTTCTCTTCCCTCAGGGTTCAAGGTCTCCTTCCACAGGCAGCTGCCGCTGCTGGCCTGAGCATGGGCACAGAGAGCTCGTACCAGCTCAAACCCTGCTCCGCTGCAGTTCAAAGTCCAACCTGACACATGCCCTCACCACACCCACCAGATACAAAGGTCGTGCCGACTCTAGAACCTTCCTTCTCTAGAAAGCACCAAATGCTCACAGTGACTGGATATCCTTCTTCCTTCACCTCGATGTCGCCCAAACCCGACAGCCCGGCTGGGGAAATGGGCTCTCAGGGTTGCTCTGTGATGAGGCCGGGCCAGCGTGTTCTCCAGGGTTGACTGCGTGGGTTCCCGTCTCCCTGACTCTGTTCCCAGCGAGTTACTTCTAGGTGCCTCTGGGCTCAGTGATCTCATGTGTAAACCAGGAAGCTCCGGGGTGAGGGCTGAGGAGAGGATGCATGGGAGGTTCCTGTGCATGGGAGGGGTCCCCAAGCCTTACCTCCTCAATGTTCCGAATCCAGTTCCGGATGTTGTCGAAGGACTTCTCGTTGGTGATGTCATAGACCAGCATGATGCCCTAATAAGCAGAGGGAGACAGAGACACGCGCTCTGGACAAGCCACGAGCCCTCTGAGGGGGAGGGCCCAGCAAGGTGGGCAGCAGGGACCCTGACAGGACACCATCCCCGGGGCCCTTCCTTCTGCTGGGCTCCACCACTAGCCTCTCTCTGGTGTCCCAGGCTCCTCAGCCACTGATGTGACCCTTCACCCCACAGACCAGATCCTACCATACCTGTGCTTACAAAGGAGCCCTGCTGTTTCCCCACTACTGGCAGGGTAAGTACGGCCCGTGTGTCTCGGCAGCCAGCGAGGTCCCAGTGGCCAACCTCTCAGCCTCGCATCCTGCAGCCCCCTGCTCTACAGGCTATATTCCATGGCCCTGATGTCCACCGGGCTCCCCCTCTTGCCAACCCTTGGCTATGCTCAGCCTCTTCCACACCCTCACTCGCCCCCCACCCTGCCCTGAGTCATCTCCTGGGCTCAGCCAGGGCCGCCTCCACTGGTCACCCCAGCTTCACCCCTCATCTGGTGCCTACCATGAGCCAGGTACTGCAACTGGGTCTCCCTGAGTCTCACAGGCTTGGGTCGGGTGGCCCCACTGTCTGCACTGTGAAAATGGGGAACCTGAGGCTGGGGGGTGGGGGGCTAGGTCCCTGTCCCCAGTCACACGACAGAGAGTAAAGGACACAACTGGGCTCTAAGCCCGGGGGACAGACCCTAATGCCCATGTGCCTTCCAACAACCCCACCGGAGTCGGGGCTGGCTTCAAGCACTGGGGCAGGCAATGCTGAGGCCTCTGTGATTCCATAACCAATGCGTGAGCAGCTGGGAGACAGTCCATGGGTTCTGAAATAGCTGCAAAGTGAACCCGTCTCTGCTTGAGCCCACAATCTCGCCACTGCCGAGGAGAAAGGCAAATATCCCCACTTGATAAAAGGGGAAACTGAGGCGCAGAAAGAGGTGACCTTTAAGATTCTAGCCCAGCTCTAAAGGAGCTGATGACACTGGCTCCCGTTAGGAATCTCCCTGGGTCCTCACCAGGATCAAGCAACGCTCAGGGCCACCCTGCGACAGTCCCCGTGTTGCCCTGGACATCCTCGCAGGGCACGCGTGGTGAGCCAGCCTGCAGCAATACTATCGCCAGCCCCGGTGCGGCTCAGCCCCGGGGTTCCAAGGCCCCAGCTGTCCTGCCCAGGCCCGGCTCACTCCATTCCTTCACTCTACCCGCTCCAAGGGCCTAGCCCTCCATCCGCAAGCTCTGGTGCTGGCCAAGACGTCTCTGAGGCTGCCTGAATTTGCAGAGTAAGAACCCGGGCCCTGTGTGCTGGGCAGATAACCGCAGGGGCGAGGGTGTGTGAAAAAACCACACAGACAGCGCAAGCGAGCCGCTGCAATTCCAAATCCCCGCTGTGACCTTGGGGATACGCACAGCGGCCTTAGAGCCTGCTACAGCCACAACCCCTCAAAAATGCCATCTGGGAACCCTCATTCAGTGGTCTCTTGGGGAGACTGAATAGAGACTGCTGACGGGAGGACCTGGAGGAGTTTTAGTGGCCGTGATGTGTGACATGCTCCAGCCAAAGCCAGAGTGAATAAAGACACTGGTGGATGGACTCTGAGTCGAGCATCACTGGGGCCTCTGCGCAGCAGCTGGCCTCCCACTGTCAGGGGCAAGAAATGCCACAGGGCTCTGAGGGCTTTTTGCCCCTTTATCCAGGGACCGGCCCTTTTGATGGCCCAGGATTCTGCCACCACCGCCACTAGGCTGGCACCATGTATGCAAGATTCCAAGGTCCCAGATTTTTACCTATGCGGTGTCAGGGGCAGTGAATAGAGCTCTCTATCAGGAAAGAGCAGAAGTCCCTGGAAAACAGTGTCACCCTATTCCAGGTTCTCCGTGAAGCTCCCCTCGGGGCTCCAAGTGACCATTTTCCTGGCCCCAGTCTGGGCACAGCTCCCCATATCTGTTTGCAAGCTCACAACAAGACACCAGCCACCCGATGCTCCCCAAATCTGGGACCCAAGGGTCCACTGCCACAAGGACAAAGATGATGACGGGGTTGCAACATTGCCAATGTTCTCCGTGCTGTCCTATATGGTCTCCACTGGCTGCACATGGCTCCGGGGCACCTGAAATGCAGCCAGTGCGACCGAGGGGCTGAATGTCCTACTTTTACTGGTTTAGATTCAAATAGCCACACACAGCCAGAGGCTTCTGTACAGGTTAGCGCAGGTCTAGGAGGATACAATCATCTTGGGGCTGGACAAGGTCTTACAGATGGCTCAGTCCAGCCTCGTCAGGGTCTGGCTGAGATGTGGGGGCTGGAAAGGGCCAGCCACTACCAGCCCAGACATTTACCCTCTGTGTGAATTTAAGCAGGGCCTGGAATGGTGCCAAGCCTCAGCCTCCTCATCTGTAAAATGGGGAGGATATGGCACCCACACTCAGGGCTTTATGGCCAAGACCTGGGGCCACTGCCTGCTGCAGGGAAGGGCTTGGTGAATGGGGCAGGGGGTGCTATTTCAACCCAGAGAGGGATGGGGCCTACCTGAGGGCATACAGCAGAAGCTCCCCCAGGACCCCAGTGCCCCAAGGCCCCCGCCCCACCAGAGCAAAGCAAGGTGAGGGGAAAATTAGTAAATTAATTTTAATGAGGAGCACTAAGGTTGCAACCCACATGATTGAGTTTCTATTATGTTCAGATGCTGTGCGGGATGCTCTAAATACTTAATGCCTCTATTCATTTCTGCTGTCCATCAGTATTTCCTGAGCTCCTACCACATATTCAGCATGGTCCCAGGCACCGTGCATGTGGCAGGGACCAAGAGGTGGCCCAGCCCTCCTGGAGCTTATGGCCTAGTGGAGGAAACGGGTCTATAGCTGATTGATGGGGTGCATCATGGAAAGGATGGAGTGCAGTGGGAGCTGGAAATGGGGAGCTGGCCATCTATCCTCACAGCTGCCTGGAGCATACTCCTGTTCTCTGTTCCACTTTCCAAGTAAGGAGACCAAGCTCAGAGGGTGACCCAGGGGGCTGAACAAGGTCCTGAGGATCTGCCTCCCACTCCCCATGGCCCCCAAGCACCCTGCTCTGTCTACCCCTTGCAGGTGCATGACCAGCTCAGGGCTCTCGAGGACAGGACCCTGGCCCAATCCAGGTTGCCCTCTGCATCTAGTTCTGGCCTGGCCTGGAGAAGGTGCTCGGTAGAAATATTTGAGGGATGGGTTTCCCTGGTGGCGCAGTGGTTGAGAGTCCGCCTGCCGATGCAGGGGACACGGGTTCGTGCTCCGGTCTGGGAAGATCCCACATGCCGCGGAGCGGCTAGGCCCGTGAGCCATGGCCGCTGAGCCTGTGCGTCGGAGCCTGTGCTCCGCAACGGGAGAAGCCACAACAGTGAGAGGCCTGCGTACCGCAAAAACAAAACAAAACAAAACTGAGGGATGGGCTTCCCTGGTGGCACAGTGGTTAAGAATCCACCTGCCAGTGCAGGGGACATGGGTTCAAGCCCTGGTCTGGGGAGATCCCACATGCTGCAGAGCAACTAAGCCTGTGTGCCACAACTACTGAGCCTGCGCTCTAGAGCCCAAGAGCCACAACTACTGAGCCCATGAGCCACAACTACTGAAGCCCACGCACCTGGAGCCTGTGCTCAGCAAGAGAAGCCACCACGGTGAGAAGCCTGCGCACCACAACAAAGAGTAGCCCCTGCTCGCCACAACTAGAGAAAGCCCATGCGCAGCAACAAAGATCCAACATAGCCAAAAATAAATAAATAAATAAAATAAATTTATAAAAAAAAATAATTTGAGGGACGATGAATGAGTCTTCCTATCACATGACCCCACCTCAGGTGCAGGCAACAGATGTTAACAGCCAACAGCTCTGAGCAAGTCAGCTCCTGGATGATCTTTAAGTTTTCAGTAGCAAGTTCCACAGAGGCTGACACGGGCCACGTGAGCGCTCTGAAGTGTTGGGGCATGCTGGCTCTGATTTCTCTGACCCCACCTGGAAGAACCGGCTTCCTGTGTCTTTCTTCATTCCCGGAGAATTAGGTTTCCTTGAACCCTGCATTGTTTCTGGAGCCAGAAGGGGAGGTATGGAGGACGAGGGGGCAGAGGTGGGGCACACAGCCTTTTCCTAAAACTAACCTGGGACCAAGGACCCCTGAGAAGCCAGAGCACGGGCTCCTCAGAAACATCCAGATTTTGGTATCTAAGGCACTGATGTTCATTTTGACTTAAAAAAAAAAAAAAGACAACCCCCCCGCGCCAAAATAATCCATACCATGGCGCCTCTGTAGTAGGCCGTTGTGATCGTCCGAAACCGTTCCTGACCAGCTGTGTCCCTAACGATGAGGAGAAAAAGGGCTATTAGCGACACAGAAAGAGAACAATCGTCACAGTGAGAATGAGGGGCATTTACCCAGTATGGACGCCCAGCTTTCTCATGGGTCATCTCCTGATTTATCATCCTGCTGTGGGGCAGCCCCCCATTATTACAGAGAAGGAAACTGTGGCTTGGGCAGGTGTCTGATGTCTCCTGGCTGGGAATGTGGCAGTGACTCCTCTGCTACATCTTGTCGTCCTGGGGATTTTCCCCAGAGTTTCTGGGCCACAGAAGAGCCAAGGTTGGATGTTATTATTTGTGAAAATCTGGAGCCTTGTATGTGGAAGAGGCTGGTCACATGGCACGGGAACACAGCCCTTGCTGGTGGGCTGAGCTGGTCGAGCTCAGCGGGGCTTAGGAAGCACTTCCACACTCGCCATCCTGGTGGAGGTCGGGGGAAAGTCCTCCCTCGTGGGTACGGTGGAGATACCTGGGTAACACGCACCCGTGCCTAGCCCAGCTCCTGGTATGGAGGGTATTCAGTGTTTGGTTTAAAGGTGACAACTGGTCAGTGGCAGAGCCAGGGCAAGACCACGTCTTCTGTCTCTGGGCCCAGGGCTCCTCCTCTGACCCTGCACCTCCCCCTTTGCAGGGCTCTGCACGTCTGGACTGTACAGACACACCTCATTTGGGGCTAAGTTGACTTTCTGCCGCCAATAGCAGGTGATGTTAGCGGTTATGATCAGTTACTTTATGACTGTTCTAGAAGAATTTTAAGAGAGTCATTAACCCCACTGCGACTGCTAAGAGCAGAAGCACGAGGACAGGAGGAAAAGAAAAACTTCTGCTTGCTGGTATGGTGTCACTTTGGACTTGGGCACTGAGACTGCTGGGGAGCCAACCTGTTGTAAATGAGGAACTTCTACGGCCCTGTAACTTACGAGGCGGCCAGAGACTGGCTGCTGCCGCCGGAGCTCAGTATGATTGGTTAGGCCACACCCAGATTTCGATTCTGAAGCCAGGTTCAGAGGCGGATACAACTGAAGTCAAGGGGACCTGCTGGGCAGGCGGGGCTGTGTCCAGGCTCTGAGACTTGAGTTGGGGAGACAAGCTGCTGGGAGGGAGGCTTCACAGTCCATCTCATGGCAGCCCTCCCACTGCAGGCATGTGCCTGGACCGGAAGGACTGAGCCACTCTCCCAAATGTGACTTCTCTCTCTTTTGCTCAGGGTTCGTGCTTCCCTGCAAGTGATGTGGCTGCAGGGTAGGGCTCTCCTACCCTCTGACCATCTGAGCCCAGCCTTCCTAGCGCAGTGGGCTGCAGACCAGAGTCACCATCCGTGACGGGGACTCACAAATCCCCTGATTTTATGTAGCATGGGAAGTCAGCCCCAGGTGAGCAGAACAGAAACAGGTCTCACTGCTGGGCCTGGCCTCAGCTTATTTTCAGTTCTGGGATTTCAGGTCTCTGTATTAGGAAGTGAGGCCTGGGCGTCCCCAGGAGACAAAAGAGGAAGCGATGTCAGGCCTTCTTCAGCGAGCTGATAGGCTTAGAAGGAAATGCCGGGCTGTGGTATCTTGCTATCCTGGCAGCCTTCACCGCCACCAGGAGGGCTCTCTCCAAGTTCAATGGGAACAGGTGGCTCTGAAGCCCAGGCCCAGACTGTGCCCACATCAGAACTGGGACTGGTAGCTGTGCCCTCAGAAGGGGCTGACACAGACTCTAAGCCCCAGCAGAAAGCAGAGCACCGTTCCTGGGGCCTCTGAAGAAAGCCCGATGTGTCCGGGCTGGGCACAGAGAGATGGAGGCCGTGGTCATAGGGAAGGGGACGGGGCACCAGGGGCTTCGGGCTCAAAGCACTCGCTGGGTGAGGGGCTAATGAAGGAAACGACTCTTACCATATCTGTAGTTTAATTCTCTTGCCATCGAGCTCTATGGTCCTAATTTTAAAGTCAATTCCTGAAAGAAAAGAAAAGGAAAAAAAAAGTGCACATCAGTGTCAGTCCATTTCCCAAGCTGTGTCTAGGACGGATGCTGACAACCTGTGCAGGTAACAGCTGCCATGGTTTCTGGAGCACCTGCCGGGCACGTGGGAATCTCTGAATCCCGCAAACGAATCTGGAGGCACCCGGCGAACTTTCTCCTCTCACAGAAGGGGAGGCTGAGGCTCAGAGGGCAGAAAGGAGCTGCTCAGAGTGAAGCTGGTGAGGGGCAGAGCTGGCGGGCAAACCCAGGTAGCTCAGGTGCCAAAGCCGTGTTCTCCTCCCTTTCCCGGGAGGCAGCCTCGTGAAGCAGGCTCCACAGCCCTTTTCGGGCCAGAGCCCCACGCTTCCAGCCACATGCACCCGGCCTTCCAAGCACACGGGACGCTGGGCCCCGAGATGTACCTGATGCAGGTGGGCCTCTAGCATTTACACGTGCTGTTCCTTCTCTGTGGGTGGTCCCTACCCTGCCCGCCTGTCAGCCTGGCAAACTTCTCCTCCTTTAAGACCTGCTGGAAGGTCACCTCCCAAGAAGCCTTCCTGACCCTGCCCTCCTTCTTTCCCACCCTCCGGCTTTAGTCCCCTTTCCCCAGGGCCAGGGTGCTCTCAGCCTCCTCGGCTGCTCTCCAGGCTCCCACCGTTGTCCCCTCAATCCCCTCCCCAGCTTCCAAAACACACACTCAACCATGTCACCAAGCTAAGCTCTGCTCCAAACCTTCCAGTGTGTTCACCAACAGGTGAATGAATAAACAAAACGTGGTCTTTCCCTACAGTGGAATATTACTCAGCCATAAAAGGGGATGAAGCATCGACATATGCTACAACGTGGATGAATCTTGAAAACATCATGCTGAGTGAGAGAGAAGCCAGACGTGAAAGGTCACACAGTATGTAATTCTGTTCATAAGAAATATCCAGAATGGCAAATCCAGAGACAGAAAAGAGGTTAGTGGTTGCTGGGGCATGGATGTGAGGAGATTAATGAGATTGACCAAGGGGTGTGGAGTGTCTTTTTGTCATAATGAAAATGCTCTAGAACTGACTGTGGTGAGGGTTGCACAGCTCTGTGAATATACCTGAAGCCACTGACTTGTACCCTTTAAACGGGTGAGTTGAATTATACGTCAATAAAACTGTTTTGAGGGTTTTTCTGTCATTTTTTTTTGGCTGCGCCACGTGGCTCGTGGGATCTTAGTTCCCCGACCAGGGATTGAACCTGGGCCACAGCAGTGAAAGCCCGGAATCCTAACCACAAGGCCACCTGGGAATTCCCGACAATAAAACCGTTAAACGGTTAAAAACCTTTCCACTGCCTCCTGGGCCCCAGAATAAAGTGAAAACAGTTGCGTGAGTGCTCCTAACCTGGTCACCTCAGCATCCATGGCTCTTGCCCTCCTCTCCGGCCACAATGCCCAAGCGTGTTCCAGCCTCAGGCTTTTACGCTTGCTCCTTCCCCTCCTGGAATGTTCTTTCATTCCATGGCCATCTGGCTCCCCTCTCCCTTCACTCAGGTCTCTGTTCAAGTCACCTCCTCAGGAGAGCCTTCCTAACCATCCTCTCTCCCCTCTCACCTGCTGCATCTTCTTCACGCACTATCCCTGACGTTGTATATTTGCTTATTTGCTCCATGCACATGGGAGCAAAACTTGCCAATTGGAATGGCCTGCGTGGAGGGGTAACAGCCAAATCCAGCCTTTGCCCCCAGGAGTTGGTTCTAAATCTCCGCCTGTGAAGCCTTGAGACTGAGGCCTGGCCTGACCCCCTCAGAACACGGCATGGGGATGCTAATTCCATCCCTGCCCGCCTCAGGAGCTGTCCTGGGGACCACAGGGAATATAAGCCTGTATTTGAGTTTTGTCTCCTAGAACATAAGCTCCAGGAGGGCAGGGACTCACACGTCTTATTCATGGTTGCATCTCCATGAATGCATGGCAGGGCCTGAGTACATATTTACTAGAAGCCGATCATCTCGTCCTGCACAGACACTTTGACTACAGGCTTTGTTACAGTTCTGCTTCCCTCTGATTCATCCCAGTCATCTCTGCAGCCCCTGCACTGAGGCGGATGCCTGGTGCACAGCAGGCACTGGGGAAAGATGACTGGATGAAAAAATAAAGCGCAACGGGATCTACGTGGTGCCACACAGTTTACCAAGTAAGCACTTTCATGTACATCAACCACTTCTCTGAAGGAATGAATGAATGGGGCCCTGAGGAGGAGCTGGGGGCTGAGCCAGGCTGGGGAGAGCCAATTCCAGGAGCCACGGGGCCAAGTTCACACCACAAATGATTGATTGACGGAGCCTATGAGAATAGGCTTCGGCAAAATGTAACCTGGGCAGACAGTGAACAGCCACTTAATCCCTGATCTATACAGAAAATACAGAGATACACTCAGTGCCAATACAGAATCACCTCTATGCATCAGAATGTATTTCAGGACTAAGCCACCCAGTGTTAACTCTTCCTAAAACATACCCCGCTCCTCTCACAGATGCACAGGACCTATGAAATCAAGAAGCACTGTTCAGTCCACAGAACCCAAAGCATCACTCTGTTCTATCTTCCTCCTGGGTTTTATTAACACACCAAATTTAATTAGGAAGTGTAAACTTTACGAGGCCTGAGAGTCATGAGGCCATAACTTCAAGGCCAGGGGGAATTAAACTTTCCTAGAAGACAGAGGCCTGCAGGAAGGCTACAAATGTAATGAGAATCCCGGGGTGGGAGGGAGGGAACCTGGGTTCGAGTGCCACGCCCACCTCCTTAGACGACCTTGCCCAAGTTATGTCTTCATCTGCAAGTGGAGGCTGGCCTCCTCAGAGCCCTGAAGGACTAGACTGGGTTTCCTGGTCAAGAATTAAAAAAACAGACAGACCACTCAACCCCTGCATTGATCTCACTGGGAGCATTCTGACTCTGGGAAACTGAGGTCTGGGTTGAGAGCGAGCCACAGTCTACCAGGAGTTAATATCACTTCCTGATTGGTGGGGACGCATGGGCTATCCCAAAGTTTGACCTTGGAGTTAGGGAAGGGGAGGAATCAGAAAGACATGTGCCTAGGGGAAGGATGCGGTCACTACAAGAGACATTCTGCTTCCTCTCCATGGTCTCTGGCAGTGGTGACAACCCCCTATTCATTGTACAGTTCTGATCCTCCACAATCCAGGCGACAGCCAAAGCAAAGAACACCACTCCTAAGCTGAAGAAACAGGGCTCGGAGAGGCGAAGTGCTTGTTCAAGGGCAAACAGCAGCTGGAACCCAGGCATGATGATTTCCAGTCCAATTCTCTTTACATCTGGCAGCTAAGTGTCTTCCAAAGTGCAGCTCCTGGAGGACGGCAAGGATGGAATCAGCAGCTAATTGTGGGGTTTAGGAAGATAAGGTACACAGGGGTAAAGCAAAGCCCTTTCCCCAGGTTTTTTCCAGCTCCTGGGCTTGGGGACCATTCTCCTGCTTCCCCACTCCAGAGCAAGACTGCGTAGCTTACAGGCCACTCTGCTTGATGGGTGTTACTTCCAGGTCAAACTCTTCATGTGGGCAATGGCTGTTTTTGTGGTGTGGGAAGAAGTCTGCTCCACTTTTGTGTATGTCAGAACCGGGAAGCAACAAGCCAATTCTGCTCAACCACAATGTGGGCTGGCCCTGCAGGAAAGGCTGTTCTGCAAAGTGACAACCGGTGTCCTGGGCCTAGCGATGGGGAAGTCAGGGCTGTCTGTGGCAGCCGCTGATTTTGGTCTCTCACTGAAGCTTTTATCTGGCATCTCCTCCGGATGACAGGTCCCAGGGCAGGCGGCTGTCACTCGCCATTTCTGTCACCCTCGAGTGAGATGAAGTCCGCGCAGGGGAAGTGTCTGGACTCCCTCTCACCATTCCTTCCAGAAGAAATTCATTCATGGGGGAAACAGGGTCAGGGAGAGGGGCTCAACCCCTGAACATTCCAGAGGAAAGAGCAGGAGAGGTCTGCGTTGGAGTCCTGGCTTCAAAGTGGATCAGCTGTGCTCACATCTCTCTGGGATGGTTGAGCCTTGAGTTTTGGGTCAGACACACCCAGGTACAAATACCATCCTTGCCACCTGTAGACCGAGTGACCTTGGGCAAGTCCAGTATCCTCCCTGAGCCTCAAATTCCTCCACTGTGAAACGAACTCATAACAGCACCTGACACAGAGGACTGGAAACTGTGGTAATGCACATAAAGCGCCTGGCACACAGTAAATGCTCAGTAAGATCAGATGTCACTTGTCACTGTCCTTTCCCCATGGACAACTCTCCGTGCCTCAGTTTCCACTTCTGTAAGACGAGGACCCCAAAGAACTGCTTCAAGGTATGCTGCGAGGACAGAACAAAATGACGGGCGCCAAGACCTCGTCCAAGCCATACACTCCTTGAGCAGGCTGAGGGTTGGTGCCTCAGTCTCCCCATCTGCGAAATGGGCACCTGGTGCCCACCCCGCCCATGGCCCGGGAACCGCCAAACGGCGGTGCAGGCGACTGCTCTTTTCCCCTCCAGTTCCCTCGACCCTCTGCTCTTTTCCCCATCCGGCCCGGCCGCTCCCTCAGCCCCAGCCCCTCAGGGGCGCGCCCGGCCCGGGCCTCCCGCGCCCCCGGCCGCTCCCCAGCCCTGCTACCTATGGTGGAGATGAAAGTGGAGTTGAAGGCGTCCTCGGAGAAGCGGAACAGGACACAGGTCTTCCCCACCCCCGAGTCCCCGATCAGCAGCAGCTTGAACAGGTAATCGTAGGTCTTCGCCATATTACACTCTCTCCCCGACGGGAAGTGCTGCCAGCGCCTCGCCACTGGCCCCTGGGCCCGTCCATCAGCGCCGATCCCACCTCCCCATTGGCTCCCGGCCCGACGCGCGTCACCGCGGCCGACGCCCGCCCCCGCGCCCCGCCTGTCTCGGGAAGACGTGGGGAAGGGGCGAGCTGGGCACGGAGCCGGAAGCGGCCCGAGCGTGCCGCTCATTGGCCGGCGCTCAGGACAGGGCGGACTGCGATTGGCCAGCGGTGAGGAGTCGAGGGGCTTCAAATGGGGACAGGGCAGAGGCGTGGCAGCCCGTGTCCCCTCCTTCTGCCCTCCACTCTGGGGCGGCCCCGCCCCCCGATGGGAGGGGGAGGGCGGGGAGCTTGGCCAACGGCTCCGCGCTCCCTCAACCCGGGGGCGGGGTCTGGGGCGCGTACGCAAGCGCGCCGGGAAGACCGTTGGGCGCCAGCAGAGGGCGCACGCGCGTGGGGTCTGTGGCTCCCGCCCTTCAAGGCCCGCGCAGCCTCAGTTGGTACCGGGACGAGCGCGGGAAGGCGGCGTGGCTGTGTTGGCAGTCTAGAGGTCTCCAGGTCCGGCCGGGGGAACCAAAGAGAAAAGGAGAATAGGGGCGCCGTCATAGTCGAAGCGAGGTCCCCTCGAGACGGGCTGCGGGACCTCGGCGCTGGCCAGGGGACCTACCTAGAGATAGCCAGGCTCCAGCCACCAAGCTATGTACTGAGGCTCGCAGGACTCCCCTGGAGGGCCCTCGAACCTATGTAGAGGTTGTTCGGGTCTTACCCCAGAGTCTCGTCCGCCTCAGCCCTTTCAGGCGCGCCCCGGGGGCCTCGGAACCTGCCGAGGTAGTTAGCACAGTGAGAATTATAGGGAATACTTACGAGCGTTGGTTCTGTGCCTGCCGTTGTTGTTAGCACTTATAAAAAATACATGAAATAGTTTATTCCCACCCCGACCCACTGAGGTAGGTATTGTTGTCCTCCCCCTCCCGCCCCCCGTTTTATGGTGAGAAAACCGAGGCGAAATAGGTTAAGTGACTTTCCCAGGCAAGTTGGTTTTTGAACTCAAAGTGACCATCTTCAGAGGCTGAGGTCTTGATCATGTTGGTTTCCTGCATCGTAGAGACGGGCCACACACCACCTGCGTGGTGTCACCGCTATGTGTCCCTCTGGGGTCAGTCCTGGAGATTTGCCCAAGGATCTTACAAAAGATGGCCCCTGCCTCCCCTGCCTCCAACTGCAGCACGTTCTTCTGCTTATTTGGCTCCGGTTAGGAAAAGCTTCAACCAGAGCCATAGACCACTTGGTTGGCTTCAGCCTCTGTGGCATTTGATACTCCTGACCACCTTCTCTGGCAGTTCTCCTTTTCTTGGTACACGTCCCATTTTATTTGCCTGTTTCTTTTATTACCTATACCTCCCCTTCTCTGGGTGCTGCTTCTCCAGATTCCACTGCAGTCTTTTGTGTGTGTGGGTGGGGGGCGTTGCTTGGTGTTCCTCTTTCTATGTCTGTTCTTGCTTCCTGGGTGATCTCATTCACTTCTTGGCTCCTACTGTCTCCATACTGGTGATTCTCAGTTCTTAGAGAACCCATAGCCCAGCCATCCCTCCATGTCCCAACTACTTCCTGGGCATTTACCTTTGGATCTGTCAAAGATACTTCAAACTCATCATGTCCACAACTGAACTTGTCATCTTGTACTCACACTAGCTTGTCTTGAATTACTTTTCTGAGACCTAAGCCACCATACTTTTCTTTCATCCCTCACAGCCTGGTTTTTAAGGATGTTCTAAATAGCTCTTAAACCTTGCTTTTCTATTTTTTAAAAAATTAATTAATTTTATTTTCGGCTGTACTGGGTCTTTGTTGCTGCACGGGCTTTCTCTAGTTGCAGCGAGCAGGGGCTACTCTTCCTTGAGGTGCATGGGCTTCTCACTGCGGTGGCTTCTCTCGTTGTGGAGCACGGGCTCTAGGCACGCGGGCTTCAGTAGTTGTGGCTCGTGGGCTCTAGAGCGCAGGCTCAGTAGTTGTGGCACGTGGGCTCAGTAGTTGTGGCACATGGGCTTAGTTGCTCTGTGGCATGTGAGATCTTCCCAGACCAGGGATCGGACCTGTGTCCCCTGCCTTGGCAGGCAGATTCTTAAGCACTGCACCACCAGGGAAGTCCCTTGCTCTTCTATTTCTTTTTTTTTTCTTTTTTTTTTTTTTTTTTGCGGTACGCGGGCCTCTCACTGTTGCGGCCTCTCCCGTTGTGGAGCACAGGCTCCGGAAGCGCAGGCTCAGCGGTCATGGCTCACGGGCCCAGCGGCTCCGCGGCATATGGAATCTTCCCAGACCGGGGCACGGACCCGTGTCCCCTGCATCGGCAGGCGGACTCCCAACCACTGCGCCACTAGGGAAGCCCTCTTCTATTTCTTTTGCTCGTCAGATCGTCACATCTCTCCACTGCTCTCCCTGATCGTTCTCTAATCCAGATTCCACCATGCAGTGAGCTTAGTCTAAAACATTTATCCAATATCCATCCATGGTCTATTGGCAGGATAAATTCCTCACAGTTTGGTCCTAACCTCACCTTTTGTCCCACCCACACTTCATGGGATTGGGAACTCCCCAAGAGCTGAGACATGTCAGTTTAACAAACATTAAATACTTATAATAGGTGCTGAGGCACCAGGATGACTAAAGCAGTATACTGAGATTAGATTACAGCCCAAGGGGGTGAGGAGGAGGGAGAGGAGGAGCTTCAATCTAGCAGTGGTAGGGCACTTAGAGGAGGGCATTATACTTTATTCATCGACATTCCCTGCCTCTACCACCTAAACAAGCTCACAGTGTCAGCTAAATGTTGAATTAAAATGAAGGAAATGTTTTTAACTGTACTTGGTAACAAAAAAAAATTGTTTGCATACTGCATTCATGTCTTAAAGACTTTCATTTCTTTTGGATTCCCTAACCCCCTTCCCCAAGATCAGATCTTAAGGCAAACCTCAAAGCAATTCAGGTAGTGAAACTGCAGTCACCTTTGACACTTTCTTCTTTAAGTTCCTGCCATCCAGTAAGCCAAGTCTAAAGATTACTTTCCTTCAGATCACTTCTTCCTTCTTAGTCCAGTCTGGCAAGCACTGTCCTGGATTAACTGAAATACCTTTCTAACTGATCTTCCTGCCTCTAGTCTACCCCACTCTAGTCCTTCCTGACAATGCATGCTAAGTGGATTTTCCTAATTTATTTCTTTTATTTATTGATTATTGATCAGTGGCTCTCCACTCCGGACCAACTTAAGTTCAGGCTCTCATCAGTGTGGACCCCGCCTACCTTCCAGCTTTCCTACTTCTTTCTTTTTTATATGTCACGCAGAGAAAACCTTACCCAGCCAGGCCTTGTGCTTTCGTGACCCAAGTGATCGGGACCATCTTTCCTGCTCCTATCTTGTCTATTAAAATCTTCCTCATTCTTTTAGTCTGGCTCAGGCAGGATTGGGGATAACAAAGGACAGGAGCTCTGAGTTACTAAGGCAAAGAGCTCTCACCTGTAATATAGAGATCATAATCCTTATATCAGGTAGTCATGGTAGACTGCAAATAAATAACATTTGCTGAGTTCTTGGTACAGTTATCTTTCCTTTCTATCCCATTTACATTTGTCAAACCATAATGCTGTGTATGTCCCCACACACTCTAAAATTCACACAAATTGTAGTTTATGTAAAAATTTATTTGACCAAAATGTAGAAAAAGTGATACTATTACATATGATACAGTTGCAAGAATCTAAATGAAAAGTGTGGGTTTTATTCAGTTGCACAATTTGCTAGTGTATCTCCTGGGTAGTGTGACGCTTAATAAATAGGAGTGAGGGGCAGAGGATTTGGATAAGCTAGAAGCAGGGTGATTTTCAGTCAGAATTGTAAACTTGAGTTGGCTCCCACACTGCTGGGGAATGTGGAATGTTTCAGCTCTGAGATGTTAACTGAGAAAGCAGAAATCTAACACAGACAAAATGTGCAGCCCCGTCTACAAAATACTCCATATCCAGTTTAATCAGGAGTTTCTTGGTCTTTGATTAACTTTGTCCTGAAGAAGGAATTAAAATTCCAGATAAGTAAATCTCCAATTTGCCAGTCCCTGGAGTATAGAGGAGATGAAGTTAGGCCAATTACTTTTTCGTCTTTACTTTGCTGTCAGAGAGGGCCATTCTGCCCAATATTTGTTTATAGAAAAAGAGTCTTAATTATTGATGCTAGCAGTGTTTTTGATACGGCTTCTCTGAATAGGACTGAATTCTACAACATTCATTCCTGCTGAGTGGATGGCCTCATATCGGAGCAGATAAGCATGGGTCATTATTGGAATAAAACATTAGCTCCTCAGAGAACAACTTTAGAGTGAAAGAAGCATAGAGAAGAGCATATCAATTATCTATTCCGAAAACATCTGGGTAATTATTATGACTCTTTTCCAGGCATTCTCATGCTGACTGCTCAGAGGATGTTTGTTCTGCACGGTGGAGGGTGAAAAAGAGCCAGGATGGTCAGGTTAACCTCTCTGGTTTATGACTTCCCATAGTAATCCTCCCCCCCACCCCCCTTTTTTGCTCTGGATGGAAAATCCCCACCCATTTTAATGTGACGGTCCCTGGCCTCCTATAGTGTGACCGATGGTGAATATTCTCCAACCTTTTAAATTGACCCATGACTAGATATCGGAATCTGTGTTTCGAAAGTGTGAGGTTGTCTATTCTCCCAGGAACCAAATGCCCTCAGTCTTAAGAGAGTATGCTCAATATGAAATACCCTGCCTACCTTAGGAATAAATGCAATTTAAGGATAAAAATAGAGCTGAAAAAGCTGGTGCCATTTGAAAAAAGGAAGGAATAGATTTAACTGGTGCTCAAAGCTTCTCTGATACAAAATATTTGGTCATGTGTTCATAATTTGCTTGACATTTCCAGCAAAGCGAAGAGGCAATAACAAAAGAAACTTCTTACGAGAGAAGAGAAAGACACGGAGCTCTGGAGTTTCTTTTGGAACAAGACTCTTCTGTTTTGGTTATATACAGTTTAGTTCGTTTAGTGTCTGATCCAGTGTCTGATGTAAGCCCACATTCTCTTCTTTGGCCTGGGCAAGCTTTTCTGGTGAGAATTAAGAATGAGGGAAAAATAAATTAATAAGCATCTTTGTTAAAGGAAAAAAAAAAAAAGGTTTCTAAACTCCACATTGCCAGAGTGAAAGAGCAGAGAAGGTACTCTACATTTTAATTATAGCAGAACACCGTGGACTAGTAGACACTAAATGCCAAGTTTGGGAGCCAGATAGGGTTGCAAAATAAAATACAGGTGCTCCGTTAAATTTGAATTTCAGATAAACAACGAATACATTTTTTAACACAAGTGTATCCCAAATGTTGCTTGAGATATACTTATGCTAAAAATTTATTCATTGCCTATCTGATAGTCAAATTTAACTGGGTGTTCTATGTTTTAATATGATAAATCTGGCAATCCTAGAGTCAGAACACCTGGATTTAAGCCCCAGTTGGGCCAATGAAGTAAGCCATTTAACCTTTCTAGGTCTCAGTTTCCCCATCTATCAAATGGGGATAATAATACCATTGTGTGGCATGGGGGTTATTATGAGGAACAAATGAGAAATGCTTCAGAACTTATGAAATGCTACACAGATTTTAGTCCAAGATATGGATGACTTAATACATTTTCTCCCTAGTGCTGGTTAATTGATCCTTGAGCTTATGGTAGGGAAAGATAATCCTGTAACCCATCTTTCCTTTGGAGCTTCTGGGAATGGCTGTTTAAATTCCAGGCATAATTGTGTAATTGTTTCTAGGTGTCCATAGCAGTGTAGTCAAACTGCAGGTAAATGCAACATGATTGAAATTTAAGACAGACTATAGGTACATTATTAAGTAATTGAGCTGATGAAACAAATAAAAAAAACCCAACAAAACCCAAAAATCTAAGATGCCATCTAGGGCTGTGCATGACAGAGCATGAGAGAGAACTGGTTTGCAATGAGTGATGGCTGATAAGGACTAGGCCAAGACTTATTAAAATACCAGAGGAAAGCAAAATGCCTCTTAAAATGTGATATGATCAGCTTGGAAATTTTCAGAAAGAATAAAAATGACTGCAAAAGATGGCAGCCTTTCAACTAAAACTACTGAACCTTTCATTTGATGTGGCACTTTAAAAAATCTAATCTAGTGACTATGATCTGGGAGGATTCTCTCAGAGGACAGTTACTTGGGCCTGTCCAGTCTGGATTAACAGAAGTCACTGAGGGCCTACTATGTGTGAACCAATTTCTCCATTACCTCATTTAATCCTCAACAACTGAGCTATCACTTTTGTTTTTGCAAAAAAGCTAAGCAGCTTGTTCAGGGTTGCACAGCTAAAATGGTAGAGCTGGGATGTAAACCCAGGTTTCCCAACTCCAAATCTCGACCTCACTTCACACCTTGCCACTTGGATTCCCTGGCATCTACTTTATCATTAGGTCTGAGACTAACTTTCCCCTAAAGTGTTAATTGCCCTTGAGAATGTGACAGGCCCCCACGCTGTCAACAGGTAGAAGTAGATCTCCATAGCCCTAATCGCTAAATGAAGTTCCACCTAGGTGCTTAGTTATGCAGACTGACTGGATAGACAGGGCTGCAGTTATTTCAAAGGGTGGAGGCTACATATGGCTGGAAAAATCTCAGGAACAAATATGCAGAGAGAGAAAACAAAAAACACCTACCCCTACACAGTTTAATCTTTCCAGGGGCATATGTATAGCAATATGCGAGGGGAGTGGTTTATGCAGAAGTTCAGGGTGGACGGCAGTTAGGAACAGAGAAAGGTTGGAGGTGGAAGGGCATGGGTAGTTTAGGGAAGATGTATTTTGGAGGACTGAATATAAAGAATTGTGACGGAGGTTCCCACCTAAATAAAAAATTACTGGATGAGGAATAACAAGCTATAGTGACCAAAAATTAATGATCTCACTGGAGCTTTTCATGCCATTTTCAGGTTCAAGGGGCAGTCTGGAAGACGGCTTGGACATCAAAATGTCAGTGTTTCTGGGACAATTTAAGGTGGTGGCAGCAGTGGGGTGCAGGGGAGAGCCAGACAGACTATTTAAAATTTGGATTCTCTTGGGAAAACTGATGAGCTTTTGGTCACCATAGGTGTGAGCTTTTAACACCCACACGCAAATTTTATGAGCTGTCACTAAACCAAGGTTCCTGGCTCTAGTTAACTCAAGTATGAGGGGAGATAGATGTTAGCATCTCAGGCAACTTCGTTTGGAACTCAGGAAAGAATCACCTCACTTCCTTTGTTTGGCATTCCAGCAGCTTCCATTCCCTTGCCCTGTTAATGGGATGCCTTTTAATTCCTTGTATTGTTGTTTTCTAAGGGCAGGGTATAGAGGTGAGCTTCCTCCCAGGACTGGGAGCTGGAGAGGTGTTCAGTGAACAATGAAGACATAGGGAACCCCAGGCACCACTCTCCGAGTATATCACAGAGAAAACATGAGAAAAGGAGGACTAAGGAGGCCAAAATGCCATTGCCGCTATTTGAATCCACAGATGAAGCCCCATCCAAAGGTAGCCTCTTTTTAGCGATAAGCCTGCTGGTTTTTGCAAGTTCTGCTGACTCTATTAAGCTGCTCAGGAGGTTGGATGAGTCTCCATTCAACATAATTTCTATTTAAGGAAAAACTGCTATTGGCATGCAGATACAGTTAGCTAATACATTTGAGAGCTCAGGCCAAGTTGGCTTTTGTTTTTACATTGTCAGAAAAGAATCATGTGGGCATAATTTTCTTTTTGAAATGAGCTCTTCATTTGAACCACTCACTTTTGGTTGCAATCATGGTCAAGGGCCTCATAGCTACGGCTCAAAAGCGGCAAGTGGAGAAAATGAAAATGAGAGGGCATGAAGGTGAGGACTGCCTGACTTTATTTCTGTCACACAGTCACAGACACAGCAGAAGAAGGCTTGAAAGGTCAAACCAGGAGGCAGGAAACTGGAGCTTCTAGCTTCTAGAAGCCCACAGGAGTATAGGCACCACAGTATTGAAGCAGACTTCAGTATTGCTAGGACAGAGGGCAGCACCCCAGCCGCCTCTTAGAGAGAGGTCATGTCGTTGAGAGCATGGTCCAGCTCCTCGCTGATAGCTTTGTACTTGAGCTTCTGAGCATATAGCTCGTCTAGAGGGCGGAGGTCCCCAGGGAGGGAGTTCAGAAGAAGAGGTACAGGGTACAGAACGCAAGGGTCGGAATGGAGTGCCACACATGAGCAACGAGAGGAAGAAAAAAAAAGTGAGAAAACAAAGCATGAACTAGGAGAAAGTCATGTCCTGTGTAACACAAAAGAGAAAACAAAAGATGTATGGAGTGATTTCTAAGTGGTGTGAAGTTCTGCAGGGGGTTAGCCATAATGAACCTTTAAAAAGAGTGGTGACTAGAAATGGCTAGAGCTTCTCCCCACCAATCTCCCACCCCAGGTTATTTCTGACTTTCAATGATGTCATCCAGTCCAAAGGCTGTACTTTGGAGTGGGGCATTTTCCCTTATATGGAAACCTCACTTCCTAAATCAAACATTGGGACACATGGTCTGAGGAATGAGTTCTGTACCCTTTCTGGGTGTTTGGGAGATTTCGTTTGAGCCCCAAGATTCTGGAAGCTCTGGGTTATTTCATGAAGAACATGGGACAGAATTTTTTTTAAAGATGGAACTCTTCAAGAAATTCTGGGATATGTGGGCAGCAGACTCGTAGACTGGAGTCTTAATTCAGGTCTCCACGGTCTCTAAATTTCCATTTTCTCATACTGTGATAAGCTTTGCACTCTCTGGGAGAGAGCTTCTGTAAAAATGCAAGGCATTTAAAAAATGCAAGGCGTGTCAGAAATGAGCAAATTAAAGGAAATTCTAAAGACTTGAAAAGAATCAGCCATATTTGGGTCTCTTTACTCACATGTGGAGCTAATTAAGCAGAAATATTTTAGTTCTTGAAAAATGGCGACCCTAGTCTGAATTTGATTTGCACTGTTCCATTCCAGGGCTCCAGACTTCCACATGTGACATCACTCTGCACTTTGCTATCCTAAAGTGGACGAAGCCCAAATCAGCCTTTCCAGATTCCCCCCAACTGTCTGGGGATGTGCCGTGTAGAGGGAGGCAGAACAAACATAATTATATGGTAATTTCATACCTTCCAGGTCATCAATTGTCTTTTCCAGTTTTGCAACTGTTCTCTCTGCAAATTCGGCACGGGTCTCAGCCTAGGGCAGAAGAAAGGAGTCGTCACTATGAGTGCTTTAAGACCAGCCGCAGGAGAAACCTGAACTAGTTGGATGGAAATCACACGCACCTCTTTCAGTTTGTCAGACAGAAGTTTAATTTCTTCTTCATATTTATCCTCCTTTTCAGAATACTGTGGGAGAGACCAAAACACTGCTTTTAAAAAAGGAAGGGAAAAAAAGCATAGAAGAATGCATGTTCCCTGTTCCTCGGAGAAAAGTGTGTGCTTGAAGCTATGAACCTGCCTAAGAAGTAGAGACAGGCACCTTCCCAGGCAGAAGAAATTTGTGCAAAACTCAGAGAATCTGGGAGAGATCCCTCTGGGATGGTATTGATCTCAAGACCTGAGCTGATAACTCAGGATACACATGTGATGAATATGGTGCCGATGACCGCATGGAAATAGGCTACTCAAGGCCCTCCACAGCAGCTGGCCTAACCTATGTTTCCAACCCCACTTCCCATCAGCTTCCCCAAGGTGCTGGCCACTTCCTAGCCTTATTCTGAGTGTTCTCTGGTCTCCAGCCCTTGACTACAACTGGGCCCCCCAGCATGGAATGTTCCATTCCTCATTACTATCTGTCAGAAGTTATGTTTGTCTTTCAGGGCTCGACTCAGATGAATAGTCGCGAACCTTCATTAACTGCCTGCTATGTTGCTAGATATCATCAATCCCGATTTACAGAAGAGTAAAGAGTAACAGACAGGTTAGCTAATTTGTCTAGGGTCACATGGCTACAAAGTGACCAAGCCGTGACTGGAACCTGACTCTGGAATTTGAGCTCCTGGCCAGCATCCCGCTCTACGGTCTTTTCTAATGTCACCTCCTCGTGACACCCTTCCCAACTTTGTGAAGTCCCTCTGTTGAAGCCCCACTGCACTTTGTTACTTTATCAACCCCTCTACTCAGCTAGACTTCAAGATCTTCAAGAACAGAAGCCGTACCATCACTGTAGCATCTCTCCCCGTGACCAGGGCAGCATCTGGCATACATATGTGGTCTGCATTTATTCACCACCTATCCTAGTATGAGATATACGCCAGGCACAACGCTAGGACTAATGACACAGCTCTAAACAAGACATAGTCCCTGTCCTTAAAAGCTACAATCTAGCGAGGAAGGCATGCGATTATGATAAATGTGATCAACCGTCATGATAGGAAAAGAAGTAGGTGGGGCTACACAGCTGAGAAACACCTAACCTAGGTGAGCAATCAGGGAGGGCCTCTCATGCAGGGGCCTAAAGGATGAATAGGGGGTTGCCAAGCAGAGAGCAAAGGGAAGGCCACCCCAGGCTGAGTGGACAGCAGGTTCAAGGTATTGAAGGTGACCAACATGGAATGTTTGTGAAACTGAAGTTCAATGCAGCTGGAGGGGAGTAGGAGGAGGGAGAATGAGGAAGAGATGAGGATGCAGGAGTTGGCGGGGGGTGGGAAGAAGGCCATGGAAGAGCGTGTACGTTGCTCCTAATCCTGTCTCCTGTAATGACTGCTTTGGGTGCTGTTTCAGCTAATAAAGCCCAATTCCACCTCTGATTGCCGCTCGACCTTCTAGAAAGTATTTCTGGAGGAACCCAGGGATTCAGTTGAGAGTGAGGCTCTGTAGGCTCTGTATCTATATGATGATGCTCAGATCTACCTAAGAGGAGCCTGGCCAGGTCCCAGTCTCATTCCATCTCCACCTTCCGGGAGGTAGAGATAAAAGATGGTGCTAAGACCCCATCTTAAAAGGGGGGAAATCTAGCCGCTGGACACCTCTTTCTGTAGGGGAAAAACCTGGCTGCTGGGCACCAAAGCTACTGTTAGCAAATACAGGTCAGATCCCTGATACCCTAGCACGCTCCTGCGTACGTTGGGGGAAGAAAAGAAGAAAGTCCGGCAAATCACCCTCCAGCTCAAGCCAACCACCAACCTTTTCAGATGCAGCCTCTAGCGACTTCAGGTTGTTAGTGACATTCTTGAGTTCTTCTTCCAGGTCACCACATTTTCTGCCCAAAGACAAGGGATTTTTGTGTCTTATCTTACATCAGGCAATTCCCCTAAAAGAAGTTTTCAAAAGGAGGAATCGCACTTCCAGGGGCCCCCAGAAGGAATGCGGGGGAAAAAATGTTAATGGCTTTTTCTGAGACACAGCGCTGTGTGTTTATCAAAACCCTATCATGCCAGGCAAAGGCGCGGCAGGCCGAGGAGTATTTGGAAGGTTTGTAAAGCACTCCTGGGCTCCTGCCAAGTCTGAGGCAACAGGGACTTGTGAAATCTATGATTGATGTGGTTGACTCCGGAAGGTGTTTAAGAATGAGATGGAGGCTGGGAGCAATCGGAGTTTACACCGGACACTCCAGGAAGCAAGGTTGGAGTGGATTTTCGAAACCAGATCTCTCTCAGCACAGCAGGAATGCTCCGGGGAGCTGGATTCCTCACCCAAGTCCGAGGGGGGAGGCATTTTGGTTTTCTGGTGGGGAGCTTGTGGGGATTCCGGTCAACCTTCTCACCTTTCCCTCCAGGAATGTGTCCCAATCCAACAATGACATCAAGAACAAGGCATTTAAACACTGACATGGCACCCTGCCCTCAGTGTTCCCTTAAGAAGGCACAGGGCTTCCCTGGTGGCGCAGTGGTTGGGAGTCCACCTGCCGATGCAGGGGACACGGGTTCGTGCCCCGGTCCGGGAGGATCCCACATGCCGCGGAGCGGCTGGGCCCGTGAGCCATGGCCGCTGAGCCTGCGCGTCCGGAGCCTGTGCTCCGCAACAGGAGAGGCCACAGCAGTGAGAGGCCCGCGTACCACAAAAAAAAAAAAAAAGAAGGCACAGCCTCCTGAGGGATCCTCTCTGGGAAAACGGACTTCTGGGCTTCTCTGCTCTCCCTGTCTCACTCATCTTTCCCAATACCTTTGTGGGAAGAGTCAACACGTGGGCAGCACTGCCCAGGGCAGTAAGAGTTGCCCATCATTCTTTGTCAGCCATGGAGGCAAAGAGGAGGCACTGAGCACTGAGTCTCAGATGCCCGTCCACTTGACCAGAGGCCCTGGTCGGTATCCATTCCCAACACAACCAACTCCCTCCCAGCTCCACCCCCGCCCCGGAGCTGAGCTGGGCGCCACTCGGCCTTGCTCTGCCACTCACAGTTCAGACACCTCGGCACGCTCCTCTGCTCTCTCCAGCTCGCCCTCCAGGATGACCAACTTACGAGCTACCTGCAGAGACAGGAAGGATCAACCAAGACTGACCCCTGAGAGCCACGTCTAGTTCAATGCCCTCCCCCGTGCAGACAGCAAGGCCACGCCCAGACCATCTGCAACGTGGGGCTTTCTGCTGCTTCTCGGACTCAGACAGTCCCGGAGAAAATCTATATTCTCTCCCTCAGGCCCCGGGAAGTGAAGGAAGAGATGGGACCATGAGGGCAGGGAGAAGGAGCAACTGAGCTTTCATGGCCTGAAGACCCACGACTGGGGACCACAATTCCCCATTTTAGCCTAACACCAAGCTGCAGGACAAAAAAGGGATCTGATCACTTGGTTTCCCCATTAAGTCTAAGTCCCCACTTGTCTGAGTGTCACAGAATTTCCCAGGACTTTTGGCGTCGTGGAAGATATGGTTTCCTAGCCAAGTGGCTGTCTTAGGAAAACAGATGTGGACACAGAAGGACAGCTGAGCTGACCAAGAACTTCCTTTAGGCGGCCCCAGGGTTCTCCCTATCACAGATCCATTTCCTCCCCACTTCCTGCTGCTGCCATCTACCAGCCCCACTCACCCCAACTCACCTCCTCGTATTTGCGGTCAGCCTCCTCAGCAATGTGCTTGGCCTCTTTGAGCTGCATCTCCTGAATCTCCATCTTCTCCTCATCTTTCATTGCCCGGTTTTCTATCACCTTCATTCCTCTGCAAGGAGCAAACCTCGTCATTACTTCCATACATTACCGCCTCATCACACACCTCCATGCATCTGCTCATCTAAACACTTCTCTGACATCTACCAAGAACCGTACTCCGAACAGGAAATTGTAGAGCTGCTCACATTCATTTCATCTTTGCCAAATGCCAGGCACTAAGTGCCTCAAACTTCACAACCCCCGCCCCCAGGGTAGGTACATTATCCCCATTTCACGGAGGAAGAAACTGAGGCATAGAGAGACTCAGTTAAGCAAATAACTTGCTTAAGGTTACACAGCCAGTAAGTGGCACAGCTGGGATTCAAACTGGTGATGTGGCTCCAGAGTCCATGCTCCCATCCTATAGAGTCTCTCACTAACTAGTAACAAGGGGGACTTGTACACCAGCAGTTACCACGATGTGATCGGAGGTCTGGGCCCAGCTTGGCTGTTGGAATGATGAATTCTGCTGCAGTGAAGTGGTGTGTGTGTGTGCGTGTGTGTGTGTGTGTGTGTGTGTGTGTGAGACGAGGCACTTCCCAGAAGAGAGTCCACAAATGAACAAGGAGGGGAAAGGTATTCTTCAGTGAGACAGAGCTGTACAAGAAAGCCCCAGAGGAATGAAAGAATATGGCAGGGAGGTCAGGGTGGCTGGACCATAGGCTGCTTGAATGACACACTAAGTGTTTTATGCCAAGGGGACATGGAACCACAGGAGGGTTTCAAAAGCAGGAGTGAGTGGAAACCAGAATGATGGATGGACTGCAGTGGGAAGACCAGGTAAGAGGCAGGTACCCACAAAGTGATGGGTGAAGAAGGCCTGAACTGAAGTGGATACTGAACTGAAGTCCACTTTGGAAAGGACAGCGTCCTGGGGATGGCTGGAAGTCTCCTACAACTTTTGACCATGAGATGGAGCTCACTCTAGCCTGCACTGCTTGGGGTGGACAAGGTAAGATCAGATACTTCCAAAGAAGAGGCCAGTGCTGGATAATGTATCGATGTGTGTTGTGCCTGCCCACAGCAGAGGACCATATACTTCTTTTCTTTTTTTTTTGAATTTTTGAATCATTTAATTTTTTTATACAGCAGGTTCTTATTGGTTATCCATTTAATACATATTAGTGTACATGTGTCAATCCCAATCTCCCAATTCATCACACCACCCCAACCCCCACCATATACTTCTAATAAATACTTTCATTCGGACTATCACTACCATTCTCAGCTGACTATCAAAACACTCTCCATGCCTGTACCAGTCCTCAAGATCATCAAGTTTGGAAAACCCTCTGCAGTAGTGGAGAGATCAAAGTGACTCGTCCAGGGCCACATAGTAAATGGCAGTGGCTTCTTGGAAGAACTTAAATCTAGATTCTCCATCTCCCAAGTATAAGATTCTTTCTACCTAAACAGCAGTGTCTAACAGGGGTGCCATCAAAGGCCTCTGGTAAGGTGATACCAATAAGTGAGGGGCTTTCCCAGGCTCTCTTGGTTTGCCTTGGGGAGGTCACAGAAGTGAGACAATCTGGTCAGGCTGGTCTGACTGTGAACAACGGTAGCAGCTAATCTAGGCCCCAGGCACAGCCATGAGCAACTTGTGACTGGATCCTTCACACTTCCTTGTGACTGCCCTGAGCTGCCACCCTCTCCCTCTATTAAGTGGCTGAAGCAGAGATCTGTGCTTGCACTGGGATCTGTGCCCTGGGTAGGACTATTCCACTGCACGGGAAGAAATTTCCCACTTGGGCAACTTGAAAAGTCAATCTCCAAGATTCCCCGGTTGGTTCTGCTTCTCCAGTGTATGGTCACAACAGTACAATCGGGAATGAACCCTTGGGAGGAGTATACACCAGGAAACTATGGTGGATGGGTCCGGTGAGAATTCTGTTGTGAAGATGTGGCAGATACACGAGGACCAATGGGCCAGCCCACACCATGACCACACAAGGAACCCATTTACCACCACACAGAGACAGCTGCTTCTGTGAATTACACAATCTGCCCTCAGTCCTCCAGAGCCTGCGCCAAGGCGTGCCAGAGAACTTGCCCACTCTGGAGGACACAGTACCCTTCTGGAGGCAGCGTAGCTCTGTCAGTGGCAAATATATTAATGGGACTGGTTTGTGCATGTCGCTGACACACAGCTGTCCAGTAGCCCAAAGCCTGAAGCACTGCCAACGAACATCTATGTAGATGGCCCATTCCAAATTTTCATCCCCCGCCTTCTCACATCACCCTGGAAACTGATGTCTTGAGAACACTGATGACGAGATGCACAGCGACTTTCAGGGAGAATGTGAGAAGCAGCGTTCTGCAAACTGATTGCCAATGACAGTTGCAGTTGCAATCTTATATGTGTCCATTTTTTGCCTTCTTCTGCCTGTTGTTAGTTTTCCTTTGGAACCACCACATCAAATGCCCCTACAAACAGCATGATGGTTTACAAGGCGTTGCACCTACGTACAAACCATACGCATTTGTACGTATGTGCACACGTGCAGGTCTGTGTGATCTCATTTACTCTCACCCCAGCTCTGGCAGGTCCGCTCTACAACACGATCCCCGTTTCCCAGAAGCAAAGGCTAATGCCACTGGGTTCAAAGCGTCCTTACCTCTCGCTCTCATCTGCAGCCTTTTCTGCCTCCTCCAGCTTCTGCAGGGCTGTGGCCAGTCGTTCCTGAGCCCTGTCCAACTCCTCCTCAACGAGCTGGATGCGTCGATTGAGAGCTGCCACATCACCTTCAGCCTAGGGAGGTCAGAGGTGCAGCCAGGTTAAGAAGGAAATGGGTCAGCTAGCAGCAGGAGCCCTCCATTCACACAGTGCCCTTTCCCCCAGCTAACCCGCTTCCCCTGCCAAAGCCCACCCAGGAATCCAGGTGATAAGGAATTCACACTGTGTCTCATCTGGAGAACGTGAATTTTCCATATGATCTTTTCCCCAAATGTCAGCAGACATCCACCACAATAGGACAGTCTGTCAAGTCAATACAGGAGAGAGAGATAAGTAAGCTGTATGTTCCAAGAGGACGGTGCTGGCCTCTCCATGGTATTTCTAGAGAGCAAGGCCACCAGTGACCGGCTCACCCTGTCACATAAGGTCTGCTCCCAACCACCTGAATGGCAAGACAAATGCAAGAATCTGGACCCCTCAGTTACATGTTGGCCATACACTTGGGAGGGAGGCTGGGGGCGGCCCAGTTGGAACGCCGTCCTTAACCAAGCTTGGCTGAGAGATGTTGGGACAAAAAGATACAAGAAAGGAAAGGAAAGAAAACTTGGTTACAGGCATGGGAGAGAAGTCAGAATGTTGTTAGTGGCTTTTCGAGGTGTTTTCACCTACAAAGAAGTTAATATGGTGGCGTGCATAAAAGCAAGAACTCCAGGATCACAGTGTGCTGGGTCAGAATCCCCGCTCTGCCAGTTTATAGCCATGTGGCATTGGGCAGGTCGTTTCACGCTTGCTCTGAGCCTCCCTATCCCAGGGCCTGCTTGCTTCATGCCTCTGTGGGGACTGTAAAGGAAGGGTATGGCATTGCACCTGGCATGTGGGAAGTCCCACAAAGTGCAGTTCTTACTGCCATGGTTTCACCTCATTTAATCCTCACATATCTCACCCATTTTACAGCTGGGGAAATTGAGAGATCCAGTGAGGTGAAGTAGATTGGTTCAGTGTCACAGAGCTGGTAGGAAACGGCTTCTTGAGCCCCAGCCCAGGATTCTTCCCTCGCCGAACCTGTGCTCTGAGTCCTGCAGGGGCTTCGAGGCCACACACTTAGGAATATTGAGAATTGGTAAAATGGAGCTCAACCGACGGGAGAAATATAAAGCTACCCGGGCTTCTTCATAACAAGACAAATAACAAGACGAATTGGGGAAGGCTGTAAAAATCAGTGGAGTAATAGAATAAGGCCAGAGTTGCTGAAAAGCGCAGAGTCAGGAAACTTTTCTTAGCTCCGGAGTCCTAGCAGCAGGGGGAGCAGAAGCTCCCACAGGTGTTTTTGATCGCAACTTCCTCTGAAACATCAGTTTGGGGAATCCATTTAAACCACTGATGAACTATTTTAAGAAATGTCACCCACTCGTTCCAATGAGTGGGTGCTTTTTATTCTTTTTAAATTATATGAATCTTAACTCCTTCAGTAACTGGGGCAGGAATTGACTTCCCCCCAACCCCATGTTTTTTAGTACACTCACAAAATTGTGCAACCAACACCATTATCTAATTCCAAACGTTTTGTCACCCCGAAAAGAAACCTCATACCCATTAGTAGTCAAGGAACTGACGTTTTAGATCATGCAGAGGTGCTTGATTCACGAGTAGTCTTAAAAAAAAAAACAAAAACACTGCCTCTTTACGTGGGGGATTCTGAATCCTGACAACCAAGCTTTGGGCACATTTTCAACTATCTGGAATCGAGACAGTTCTGAGATACATTCATATATGTACATACATACATACATATGTATTTTTGAAAAACTGCTAGTCACTGCTAGTCATTTTCGGTTCCACCCCTTCCTGCAATCAAAGCTTCTACATGCTACAAAGGATTTCCCTTATAAGGTAAAAGAGGCTTGCTAGATACATGTGGCAAAGGAACAGGAAGATGTCGGTTAATCACACAAAAATCTAAACGAAACCAGCTGTTGGGAGGCAGACCCAGAAGTCTGCCACACGCCGGCTCTTGGCTTTCTCTACAAGAGACTGAAAAAGTGCTCCCCCCTTCCCCCCTGGGCTCAATTCCTTTTGCCCAGGAACCTTCTTAAGGCTTTTCCCCTTTCCTGATCAAGAGAAGCATGCCTTGAAAAGTGAACTTTTTAAGAAGTTCGAAACTTTCCAAAAACATCTCTCCTCCCATATTGGACTGTCCCACTCCTAAGTCTTGGCTCACAGCTGAGGGCCATTTTTAAGCAGAAGTAATTGTCCTCCAGAGATGACTTGGGATGAGATCAGAGGGAGGGTTATGCCGGTTACGTGTGCGAAAGAGGCCAAACTGGCTACTGTTGGAGGCTTACACCAGGTTTCTGAGGCCTCTTCACGCCAGAGCAGCCCTTACAGGATTAAATGCTTTGACTCTGGCCAGCGGAGAAACAGTCTGGGGGGCTCTTCCCCAGACCTGTCAGTACACATGGCAGTTCCATCTGGTTGGGCACTTTTTCCACTTTTGGGGTGCCCACCCCGAGTCCCAGCACTCCAGCTTTCAGGGACCCTGGGCTTCCACCCTCTCCCCCAACTTTCTTTCCTCTGAGTCTTTGCACAGTCTCTTGTCCCGGAAAACTCTTATTTATTCTATAAGACTGTTCAACCTCCATTTTGGAGCCTACCCCACTGGTTCTCTACTTCTGTCATGCTCCCATAACAGTACGCAGACACACCCCGCCCACAATGTTAATCAGCCTTATTTGCCTGACTCCCCTTGCCCCCCCCCCCCACTAGGCTGTGAGCTCCTCTAGGGGTAGAACGAGGGGAGAAAAAAGTCCAGCAATAGAGCTCGTACTATATGCCAGTTGCCAGGTAGGGAGGTTTTACTCCTGAGGCCCTCCCAACTATCCCTGGGGTCAGCATTATTGTCATCCCTACTTTGTAGATGGAGACACGCTCCTAGCAGTTAAGTACACCAATACAAATCTCTCTCCAGCCCCACTGGTGGCCACCACCTGTCCCGTCCCAAGGGGCAATCAGGGGACGGAGAGAGGGCGGTGAGGCCCCCTCCTCATTCAGCCCCATTATCTGCCTCAAGCCCCGCAACTTGCAGCGGCCGCACACAAAACGATCTTGGGTCGGGGGCCCCATGCTAACATTACAAGGGTCTTCCAGAGGAAGGCGGGTTCCGCGGCCCGCGTTCCCACAGGGACCAGCTGGGGAGGGAAAGGCCCGCGGCTCGGGACTGAACTTCCGCCCCCAGTCTGGAGCAGACACGTCGCCGCCGCGCCCCTGGGAACAGCTGGGAAAGTTCGGCAGGAACCGGGAAGCCTCGGAAGAGGCGAGAAAGTGCGACGCCCCCAGCTCCACTCCCGGTTTCGGCCTGTCCAACCCTAGACAATGGAAGCTCAACGTTTTCACTCTCACTTCCCGCTCCTAGGTGGAGTAGCAGCTCCCCGCCCTCCCCCGCCCGGACCCCGGCGCCAGCGGCGAGTCGGAAGGCAGCAGGGTGCCCCCTACCCCCTCTCCCTACTCCAGGATCGCGTACACCCCCCCGCTCCGCCCCATCCCCCCATTTCCCGCTCGGCCGGCCCCGCCCGACCCGGATGCGGCGCCCCCTCCCCCGTCCCAGGCTAGGGAAGAAGGATGGCGACGGAGGAACGGGTCTCAGCAGAGGGTCCCAGGTTGCGGGTCCGCGATCGGGAGCGCCGGGGCCCGAGGGTGCAAAGGTGGGATAATGGGGGCGATGATGGGGGGCGACAGCGGTGGGCGCGCAGGGAGCGCGGGAAGCGGGCGGCGCCGGGATAAGGGAAGAAAGGAGGGCGCGCCGGAGCCGGGGGTGCAGGAGCCGGCGCGCAGGCTCTCACTTTCTCTCGCCGCTCGCGCTCGCCGTCCAGCTCCCGCTGCAGGCCCTGCGCGCGGTCCTCCGCCTCATCCGCCTGCTGCTGCAGGGCCTGGATCTTGCGTTTCACCGCCTCCAGGGAGTTGAGGCCAGCCATGGCGCGGAGGCGCACGCAGCGGGCGGCGGGCAGCGGCGGGAGCTCGTCTCGGCTCCGCTCCGGCGAGAGCTGCAGCAGCCGCGCCCCAGCCCCAGAGCCTTTGCCTGCGCCAGGGCCGCCCCCGCCTCTCCCCGCCCCCGGCCCGGCCGCTGTCGGGGCGATGAGGTCACCCGGCCGGGCAGCCGACGTCAGCACCGCTGGGGGAGGGCCTGACGTCGGCACCGCTGGCCGCAGCTGCTGGAAAGTGCCCTCTTTCGGGACTTATTTGGAGAAAGCGCCGGGAGGCACCGCCTTCTCCTCTTCCTCTTCCTCCAGCGCTTCCCGCCCGCCCGGCCCCGGGGCTCCTGTCCGGCCCTGCCGCGGGCGCCCCCATTACTGGGCACGTACGTCGGAGGCTTTCTTCTCCGTCAGCTCCAGCTTCTCCTGCGCGTCCTTCAGGTCCTCGGAGTATTTGTCCAGCTCATCCTCCGTCCCCTTCAGCTTCTTCTGGAGGTGCGTCAGCTCCTCCTCTACCTGGGGACAGATAGGGGGACGCATCAGCCTGGGGGCCACGTCCCCGCGGCGCAGGGGCGTCCCCCGCATTCATAGGAGTCCAGGTTTCCTCATCTGTAAAACAGGGATAACAATGTTACGCACCACTCAATAAACGCACCACTCATACCTGTTAATGTGACTTTCACATCCTTTCCTTATCCTGGGACCAGCTGTGCTTATCTTTTTTTTGGAGTCCCCCAATACTCTTGCAGAATGGGTCACAGCTTTTGGGAAACAAGTCCCGACAAGTTTCCTACAAACACGCGTTCAATTTTGCAGCCTCCCCAGGGGAGTCTCATACTCTGGGCCTGGGCCATCCCATTTGGGTGTCAAGATTGTTTTTGACAACTTTTTCTGGCAATGTTTGGACAACAAGGAGTGGGGACTGTGATAAGGGAGGCAGAGTCCTATGAAGCAGTTAGAATGTGCCAGACACAGTACAAATACCGTCCCACTGAAGCCTCGTGTCACAGAAGGGTAAACTGAGTCCCTAAACAAGAAAGGGACCTGCCCAACGCCATACGGATAGGGCACTGGAACCCTTGTCAGACTGATTCCAAAAATGGTAGGCTATACTGTGCCCACTGCCCATCACGCCCTCCTCCCACTGACCCTCCACACCCAGCCCCCTCCCCTGGGTGGCCTGCACTGCTGCCCTGGGCCCCCAGTCCCTGTCCCACCCTCTCGCCCAACCCTGACCCCTGAGGCAGGGGGTGTCCCTCTGTGTTTGGTTCTGTCTCCCCCAGCCTGGGGCTCCTTATGAGACAGGCCTGGGGCTGAGGTCAGTCTGGGCTCCAGCATCACCCAGTATGGGACTGGGCCTGATGTTCGCCACAGAACCCCGGGGGAAGTTTGCAGAATGAATCAATGACACAACTGCAAACCCCTCAGTGGTTGGAGCTGGGTCTGAAAAATAAATAAAGTGGACACAGATCCGGTTCCTTTCCCTCTGTCCGAATTCCACACACAAAGTGTGTACGGGTGCGTGGTGCCTTGCCGGCGGGGGGCTGAGCCTTGCACTGACTCTGCAAGGTCTCCCTCAAGTTGCTTCCTTCTTGGGGCCTCAGTTTCCCTGCCTGTAAATCTTTGGCCAGGAGGGTCATGGGCTGCGTACCATAGTCCCGGCAAATGGGGCCTTTGGGCAGGGCTGAGGCAGGATGTGGGGTCAAAGGCCAGTTGGGGCGGATGTCACTGCCCTGGGAGGGGAGCGGGCAGGATGTGGGCAGGCTGGGCCTCCTGGTCCCATTCCCATACTGGAGAGAGAGGGCTTGGAATTGGGACTTTGCTGCAGGTTCCCTGAGGGTCAGGCTGGCCTAAGACCCATGCTCTCTGGCCTCCTGAAGCATAAGGCAGTCCAGATAAATTGAGTCTTTCACCACCTCCCGCCTTTGCCCCAGGCAGAACTGGCCATCTGCACTGTGGGACTCAGGCTTCTGCTTTGGACCTCTGGAATCTTGGGTGCCCTGCCATCAGAAGGAATTGTTTGCCCCCATTTCTCAGATAAGAGCACTGAGGGCTCAGAGAGGGGCAGCAATGTGCCCTGAGTTACAGAGCTAGAAGATGATCTGGCCTGGATTTGAGCACAAGTCCACCCCAGTGGGCAGCTTTGTGGAAAAAAAGAGAACAGAATGAAAATCCAGCTGGAGACCAGAGAACGTGTCCCTGCCTCCTTGGCCGTGCAGGTGGCTGGATGCTTTGAGGAGCCTTCCCTTTTGAACTTGTGTGCGCCTTGGTAGAGTGTGCTTTATCACTCACTCACACCTTAGTGAAAATTAGAGCCCTAGAATTGCTTTTTTTTCTGAATTCCTAGCTAAGCCCCTCTTGGTAAGGGCTAAATGATGGATGGAAGCCGGCAGCTCAGGGCCAGCCCAGGATGGGTGTTTGTGTTTGCCAGGGAGGGAGGAGGAGAGTTTGTGGCCGGGAGAACTGGGGTGGGGCTGTCCTGTGCGGATGTGTCACAGGTGCCTAGGGCAGCCCCGGGACACTGGGGGGTGGGGAGGCCCAAAGGGGAGGTAGGGCAGGGCGGGAAAGAATCCTGAGTTTATTGAGCGCTTACACTGTGCCGGGTCCCAGGCCAAGGGCTCCCCCTGCCTAGTCACCCCTCGTCCTCCCATGGTGGTGAGGGAGGCACCACTTTCACTTCCCCATTTCACACATGTAGCCACCGAGGCACAGAGAGGTGAAGGTGTTTGCTCCAGGGTGCTCAGTGACTAAGCTATGAGCAAGGCCAGCCTGAGTTCAGAGCCCGCACTTTTACCTGCTGAGCTGGCCTGACGCCTGGGATGGGCAGGGCTGGGCACTTGGTGGCACGGTCCTAAGCGCCTCCTGGGGCTGATTCGAGACCCTGATGCTCCTGAGGGCTTGGCAGTTGGCCCCAAGGGTGCAGATGAGCTGTGTGGGGCAGGGCACTGTGGGAGGGCTCAGGACCCCCTTCCCTCCTCTCACTGGCGGCTCTGGCCACCCAGACACAGACAGCTGACTTCTGCTCTGTCCCAAGCCACGGCCTTGGGACTGCCCAGCCCAGGACACTTCCATTAGCTCTCTGATGTGTCCCGGCTGCCTGGGCCTCCTGGGAACCTTGTCCCCAAAGCTCTGGGTCTGGGGCCTCTGCCTTCCACAGGTATCCCCGCCTTCCCCTGCCAGGCTCACAGCAAGGGCTCCCCAGATACACAGAGACACATTGAGATTCTCAGGTTCACCCTCAAATCTCTACCCACCCTAGCCCCCAGCCCTTCACTCAGCTGCCCCTGCAGTCGGTCACAGCCAGCCCCACCATGCACCCACACTTGGCCACTGTCCTCGGGCTGTCACGCACAGTCACACCTGAGTGTGCTCTGACACGGGCACCGGGTCACCCACACTGACACAGATACCCCAACAGGCACACACATACCCTGACACACACGCATGCACGCCAGCCCAAACACACAGTCACCTTAACACACACACACACACACACACACACACACTCACCCTGACACCCGCACATTCCATTAATGTCATGTCAACTTTTGCGCAAGCACACACACAGCTAGCCTCTCCCCCATACACCCAAACCCCTGCTGATACCACCTTCAACACACGTAGACTCACAAACATAGCCATACTCTTCCACACCCACTTTCCAACAATTGCACGCGCAGGCTTCCCTCTGCACACACATTCTTAGTCACCTTCACCCCTCCAGAGAGCTGAAACACACACGCAACACATGTGAACACACAAATGCTCACACACACACAAATACCTTTCACACACACAGCATCCCCAAACCACCCCCTCTAGGATACCCCCCAACACTGATGCCTTCACCCCAACACACATCCACACACCCTCACATTTGCACACACACAACCAGCCCACACAAACACCCCTCTCTTTCTCACACGCTTTCTTAGTCTCTCTCTCTCTCATTCGCTTTCCTCCCACTGGCATTGTTGGGAGTGGGTCCAGTTGGCCCCCTCTCTCCCCGCCCAGGGACCCCTCCAGGGAAGACCCCCTGTGTCTCCCCCAACCTCCGAGTACCAAGATTTCCCAGACCCCCACCGTCGGCCCCAGAAGCTCGCCAGCTCAGAGAGGGTGCTGGGCTGCCCGGCGCAGCCCAGCAGAGGCACGTCCGTCACCTGCTTGCACTTCTCCTCAGCAGCTTTCTTGTCCGACTCCGCCTGCTCGGCCCGGTCCATGGCATTCTCCTTGTCCAGCTTCAGCAACTGCATCTTCTTCTTGATGGCCTCCATGGCTGGGCAGGCGGGGGGCGAAGGCGCAGGAAGGGCTGGGGGATCGAGTGAGCGGCGAGGGCGGTGGGGAGGCCCTTATAGGCTCCCCAGGGTGCGCCGCCCTGCTTTGGGGCGAGGCCGGCTGGGCCAGCCACCACTCGCTTGCTTGTTCAGGAGGACTTGGCCAGCTCACCGGCCTCCCCACAGCCCTTGCCTTATTTGGGTCTAGGATTTTCTCAAAGGAAAAAAAAAAAAAAAAAAAAAGGCCCGACCCGTTTCCGTTTTTAACCTGGTGACACAGGTCCCGCGTGCGCGAGCAGGCACAGCGCCGGCCCAGGAGGATGAGGGCGGCCTGCCGGCTGGTCTGTTTCCCCATCTGTGCTTGTGTGGGCTGAAGAGGGTTTGTGGGTGGGTGCAGAGTAGGGGTGTGGTGGGGTGACGGGGCTCCTGTCCTCCCTTCTTCTCCCCTCTGGGTCCCTCCAGGTATTGGGGGGTCAGGACCCCATCCCATCTGCTACCACCCCTGGGGGACTCCCTGGATTACTCCCACCTGTCTGACCAGTCTCTGTCTCATCATCTCCCTCTGTCTCTCTTTCAGTGACTGTCTCTGTCTCTCTCCATCTCTTTTGTCTCTGTGTCTCTCTCCATCTCTCTGTCTCTTTGTGTCTGTCTCCATTTCCCTCTCTCTGTCTCCCCGTCTCTTATGGTCTTTTTCTCTCAGACTTTTTCTGTATCCTTTTCTCTGTATCTCTCCCTCTCTCTCTATCTCTTCCTCTATGTCTCTATCTCTCTCTGTCATCTCACCTGCCCCTGTGGATCCGGCCCACAGGGGCGAGATGGACCCGGGCTGTCTTTCTTTCGGAAACTCTGGGAGGCCAAGGCGGGCCCAGACCAGACCCTTGATGCCTTCCTTAGATCTTGCCCCCTCCCTCTCCCACTCCGAATCTGGCTATGGCTCCCCAGCACCGGCAGGAACAGGAGGCGGCTTAGCTTCTCACTCAAGACTCCTGTTCACCCCCACCCCCAGCTCTCCCCACACTCAGCTCAGCTCCTTCCACTGCTTCCCAGGCAGGGCTGCCATTTCCCCTCCTCCAGGCCTTTGCATGTTCGGTCCCCTCTGCCTGTTTTGCCTTCCCTCCAGCAACTGGAGCAGGGACTCACTGCCTTCAGAAAGATGTATTCAAAAAAAAAAAAATAGGGCTTCCCTGGTGGCGCAGTGGTTGGGAGTCCGCCTGCCGATGCAGGGGACGCGGGTTCGTGCCCCTGTCCGGGAGGATCCCACGTGCCGCGGAGCGGCTGGACCCGTGAGCCATGGCCTCTGGGCCTGCGCGTCCGGAGCCTGTGCTCCGCAATGAGAGAGGCCACAACAGTGAGAGGTCCGTGTACAGCAAAAAAAAAAAAAAAAAAAAAGAAAGAAAGATGTATTCACTCATTCACTCACTTGAGAAACACAGAATACCTCTCACGTGCTGAGTCCCAGAAGCACAGGCTTGGAATGTGGGAGCCATTACTATTATTGTTATTATTTGATCATCTGTTTTGGACCGTCAGCAGCTTTGGGGCAGGCCTGTGCCTGGGTCTTATCTGTGGTGCCCTGAATGCACCCACCCCCCAGAGGATCAGAAAGTCCTTGTTAATTAAAATGAACAGTTCGCTCTATACACTCACACACTCTCTCACACACATTCACATACAGACCCATCTCTCTAACTAGGAAACTTCTATTCGTCCTTCAAAGCTCAGATCAGATGCCTCCCTCCTCCAAGAAACCCTCTTGGACTCCTAGACAGAGCCCCGGACCTAGCCCTGCATCAAGACTTCTATGTGGTATACACGATGGAATATTACTCAGCCACAGAAAGGAATGACATTGGGTCATTTGTAGAGACATGGATGGACCTAGAGAGTGTCATATAGAGTGAAGTAAGTCAGAAAGAGAAAAACGAGTATCGTATATTAACACATATATGTGGAATCTAGAAAAATGGTACAGATGACTTTATTTGCAAAGCAGAAATAGAGACACAAACATGGATAACAAACATAGGGACACCAAGGGGGAAAGGGGTGGGGTGGGAGGAATTGGGAGATTGGGATTGACACATATACATTATCGATACTATGTGTAAAATAGACAACTGATGGGAACATACTGTGTAGCACAGGGAACTCTACTTAATGCACTGTGGTGTTCTAAATGGGAGGGATATCGAAAAGGGAGGGCCTATATGTTTAGGTATGGTGGATTCATTTTGCTGTGCAGTAGAAGTTAACACAACATTGTAAAGCAACTATACGCCAATAAAAATTAATTTAAAAAAACCCAGACCTATATAAAAAAAAAAAAAGACTTCTATGTGGTATGGAATGCAGGTAGTGAGGCTTCTGTGTTTCCTGCCTGAGGCCGCAGAGGGAGTGAGATAAAGGGACTGGGCAGTGGGCAGTGCTGCTGGAGAGTGTGAGGGGTGAGATCTAGAGTTCCCAGCACCTCTCTGCCCCCTCCTGATTCCTTCACTGTCCCTTAAGCCAACTTCCTTTTCTCTGTCATGGTGAGAGCAACTCCCCTGCACCCCTGCCCCCAGCCCCATGCCCCAAGGATACTGGTTTCTCCCCATGTTCAGGAGCTAAGAAAGCTCAACCTAGACCCCTCCCCAACTCAGTTCTCCATCCGCCTTCCTCATCTCATCCCCGCCCCATGTCCTGGCTGTGCAGACTCTTTCCTCTTATGATAAAAGTAGGGTATCATAATTGCATCTTGAAGAATGTCAGTGATGATTAAAGGACACTAGGTAGATCATGGAATACTGTTCATTGATTGAGTACCACATGAGGGACACCACACTGAGCACTGGACACGCAGCATCTCACTTAAGCCTCCCTGAACCCTAAGAGGTAGCGGACTGTTTTTATTCTCATTTTATAGAAAAGGAACCTGAGGCCCAGAGTGACCCACACGGGGTCATCCAGCTTGTGAGTGACAGAGCTGGCACTCGACCCAGCTGACTCTAGAACAGAGCTGGAGAGAAGTCCTAAGACCCTACCTCCCACCATGATTTCCTGCCCCCCAACTCCCATCCCCTGACTATCTCAGGCTGAGTCATCAGAGGTCAGCTCTCTCCACTCCTGATGTCCCCCCAGGAGACCCTGGAACCAGCCTCATCGCCAGGTGGTGTGGCTAATTCCAGGCCTGACACCACCGGCTCCAAAAAGGGATCCCTCCCCTAGGAGATGCTGGCTCGCTCCATGGCCTTGTAGGGTAGACCCTTGTCCCTGGAACGGCCTCTTGCTCAGGGAGCTCCCAGAGGTGGAATCGGATGCCGGGAAGGGGAGAAGGCGGCTAGGAATGGTGTTAGAGCCCAGCTGTGCCCCCTGCCCTGTAACCTTAGCACTGGAGTTATGCTCTCTCTGTGTATCTGCCCCAGGGACACCCCAGAATTCCTGGCCAGGACTGGAAGGGTCATCTGGGGTTCCTGGCCCCTGGGGACTCTGGTCCAGCTGTCCAGGCTGCGTGGCCTGGGGCATGAGGTGGATGAAGCCTGCCATTTATAGCTCAGAAGGAGTGGGCTGCCCTCCTGCACCGTCATTCTCCAACTGGGGACTTCTGAGGACTGGGGTGGGGGAAGAGCTCTGTGTTGCCATCAGGCCACCTCACAGCCCTGAGACTCAGGGTCACTTATTGAGCACCTACTACATGCCAGGCACTGTGCAGGCTTCGGAGACATGATGCTAGACATGACTCAGCCCAGTGGGGAGAGACAACCAATACCTGCAAACCCCTGTGGAATTTGTTAGGATAAGGCAAACTGCTGTCTTAGGTTGGGATCCCCCAGAAGCAGACCATGAGACAAAAATTCGAGAGCAAGTAATTTATTTGGGAAGCTACCCAAAGAGACACAGGTAGCGGGTGGGGAAGTGAGAAGCGTTACCACTCTGGAAGTCTGGAGGACAGTGCCACCAGGGACCTCTGGGGGGCAGCAGAGAGCATGCCCTCCAAAGTTTGAGGACCTGAGGGGTGAAGGAGCTGTGGTATTTATCTACCAATTCCCATCCTTGTCGGTTGAAGGCTGATCCTGGGGGGTGTTGATATAGGGCCACCACCAGCTTCAGCAGCTGGAGAAAGACACCCCCGCACCCCACCATGCATAGGTGCTGGAAGAAGAAAGCCCTTGGTATAGGGGAACCTGATTAATTTGGGGTGGAAGTCAGGGAAGGCTTCCCTGAGGAGGTGGCAATTGAGGTGAGGGCTGAAGGAGGACTGTAAGGGGGTTGCCTCTCCCCCCCCTCCAAATCTCTCCTGGAGTTTGAGGCATGCAGAGAGACCGAGGGGCCAGAGTGAATTTACCGAGTACTGGAGGAAAAGAGCAAAGATGGTCTCAGCTTGCATCCTATGGAGCCTTACTCACTGAATAATAATATGACAAGGATGATGATCGAAATGGCACTGGCTAAAGATGACCCAGAGCGTCAACAGATGTGCTGAGCCGGTCACGTGCAGCATGTGGGCAAGGGGTGGGCGGGATGGGGAACTCGACCCTTCACTGAGAACCTTGTGCAGTGTGTACTTGGAGTCCCCTCAGCAGGAAAGTTGCTTATCAAGGTCACACAGCTGGCACTGTGCCAAAGCCAAGATTTGAACCTGAATCTGTCTGATTTCCCCCGACCCTGAAACCACCACTGCTCCAGCCCTGCTGCCCTGTTTATTAAGAATCACCAGGGAAGGAGCTAGTGTGGGGAGAGGGAGAAAAGGGCCCCGTGTTCTCCCCAAATTCTCTGAGGCAGACTCCAAGGGAACTGTGTGGATTACAGACCTTGCCCACAAATGCTGAAAAAGAGGCATGACCACAAGCTTTATGGCATCATCATAATAATTAATAATAATTATGGTTAACACTGACATTTCCCTCAATCTGCCTGCCCTGTGCTAAATGCCTCACATATATAAGCTCATATATTAATTTTCACAATAACCCTATGAGATGGGGCTATTATTATTCCCATTTTACAGCAGGAGAAACTGGAGCACAGAGAGGTCAAAAAACTTGCTCAAGGCCACACAGCTGAAAATGGCAAAATCAAGATT